GGATGGATCAAATTTTAGGAGTTTAACGTATTTCTGTATTTTTTTTGCTGATATTATTTTGCTGAAATAAAAACTTTTGTGTTTTTATATTCCTTTTTAAATTTTATTGTTGAAGCAGAAGATTGGATTCTTTCCCTTCAAAAATGTCCAGAAATCAAAAAAAATTTAAAAAAAAATTTTTAGTGGCTGAATTTTTCCCACTTAACCAAAAATTGTAGTTGGACATTTTGAGTCAGGGAGAGGATTTTCCAATTTTTCTGTCTTTCAATTAAATATTTTTTTAAATTTTATTTAAGTCTAATAATCTTATTTTTAATAGATTTTTTCTTACTTTTCGATTAATTCTTATGGCAAACAGAGCCTTTTGTCGTCAAGACGAGGAATACGAATATGGGTTAAAAGACGATGAAACAGATTCGGTCTACTCTGTTGGATATAGACCTACAATAGTATTTTTAAATTATAAATTTTTTTCTAAAAAAATTTTTTTGGGTCATAATGGGACTTAAACGAAGCGGAAAGACGTCAATAAGAAAAGTGGTGTTCCAAAAGATGAGCCCGAATGAAACGCTTTTTGTCGAAAGCACGGCGAGAGTTACTAATGAATGTGAGTTTAATTGTTTTTGAAACTTATTAGGTTGATTTTGGGTTTGGGAATTTTTTAAGGATTTTTGGGGAAAATAAAAAAATATTTTACCCCAAGCGGGTTCGAACCTTTAACCCTCACAAGGTGTTTTTTGAATTTTTCCCACTTAACCAAAAATGAGTGGTGTCTTTTTTTGGCTTTTGAGGGTTTGGGAATTTTTTAAGCATTTTTGGGAAAATAAAAAAATATTTTACCATAAACGGGTTCGAACCTTTAACCCTCACAAGGTGATATTTTTGGATTTTTCCCACTTAACCAAAAATGAGTAGTGTCTTTTTTGGCTTTTGATAGATGGCGATTGCTGCCATTAATTCCACCTTCCCAATGAATTTCCTTAAATCTTCTCTACTCTTTTTCAGATGTCAGTGATTCCTTCATAAATTTCGAAACAATTGAATTTCCTGGACAAGTCGATCCTTTTGAAGCGTCGTTTGACCCAAATTCGATATTCTCTCGTTGCGGAGCTCTTCTTTTTGTAATTGATGCCCAAGCGGATTATGATGATGCTTTAAAGAAGATGGTTCCAGCAATTATTAGATCATATTCGATAAACAAAAATATTAAATTTGAGGTTTGTTTGTTTAGTTTTTTAAGGACAAATTTATTAGAGTTGCTTCCCGACCCTTTAAGTCGTGGAATTTGAGACCTTAAAGAATCCTATTCCAAGGCGCTTTATCCTCGAAAATTTTCCCCGAGGTCCTTTACGGGGAACAACTCGAATATTCAGCAAAGTTGGGCACCTGACTTTTAAGTATACCTATATGAAGGAAGTAACCAAATGTCAGGTTTTGAGGGAATACGTATCTGAATACCTCTGGTTATTATTCTAGTTTGTACGTACAATTTTTAAAACTTTTTTCTATAAAGGTGTTCGTTCACAAAGTTGATGGTTTAAGTGATGAAACCAAAATGGAAACACATCGAAAAATATTTCAAACTGTCCAGGATGATCTTGCTGATCAAGGAATGGATCATATTCGAATTAATTATCACATGACATCGTAAGAATTTTTCTAATTTTTTTTTTGTTTTTTAGCAATTAAGAAAAAATTTTGTCCGCAAAATTTTTTTTGCGGACAAATTTGTCCGCAATTTGTGTCCGCAAAAATTAAAATTTTTTTTCTTTTCAGAATTTATGATCATTCAATATTCGAAGCATTTTCTAAAGTTATTCAAAAATTGATTAAACAATTGTCAGTTTTGGAATCTTTATTGGATATTTTTAATCAGGTTTCATTTAAATAAAATTTTTTTAATTTATTTTTTAAGGGTTCAAATGTTGAAAAATCATTTTTATTTGATGTTGCAAGCAAAATATATATTGCTACTGATTCTTCACTTGTTGACATGGTTAATTTAAAATTTTTTTTTGAAATTCTAATAGGGCAACCTTCACTATAAGATACCCCTAAGGGGTTAAAAAATCGTACCTTATAATGGGGGTGTACCTTAAATCGGAGGGATACGTTTAGGAAGCTCCCTCCTCCACTCAAAGTCAAAAAATCCTAAACAGGTCCGAACCTGGTCCCCCACAATGTGAACCTTTGGATTTTTCCAGGAATGAGTTCGCGTCTTTTTTATAGACTTTCGGTTAGCAGGTGACTCATGCCAAAATTTTCAAAACGTATCTTGAAATGCGTCTAGTACTTGGGTGTATTTCTCAAGGACGTAATCATGGGTAAGATTTCCTCTGGATAGCCCCTCCTCCCTCTGGTACGCCCTCGACTCTTATTAAAATTTTCTTTTCTTTTTTTTCCACAGGCCACTTATGAACTTTGTTGTGATATGATAGACGTTACAATAGACATATCTTCAATTTATGGACACAAAGTTGACCAACAAAATACTAATAACAATAAACAACAAATTCAACACCAAAATCGTCCAATTGGTTTTGATCAAGATACCTCAGCAATGATTATGTTACGAACTAGACAAGTTATTTTTTTGAGACAAATTAATGTTTATTTGGCTTTGGTTGCTGTTATTAAAGAAGATAATTTTGAAAAACAAGGATTGATTGATTTTAATTTTAATGTTTTTAGACAGGTTTTTTTTTATTTTTTTTGGAGGGAAAATGAGGGGCTTGAGATTTTTTAAGGAAGAAAATTTCCTGGGGTATAAGTGAGCATACTTACCTGTTCCTCCATGAACCTTCACTCTTTCAAAGGGCTTTATAACTTTGTTTAAAAAAATTCCCGAGGTGTAAGGGACTATACTAACAGTCTTATGTGTTACGAGCCGTAGACTTCTTTTAAAATTCATTTTGGTATAGGAGAAAAGCAAGGAGTCTCTCTCCACTCTCGGCGGGCCGCTGAATCTCTGGGATTTGATTCCGCGGTGTAAGGGAGCATATACTACCAGTCTCCTCCGTGTCACGAGGCCGTAAACTTCTTTTAAAATTCATGGGGTATAGGGGAACATTAAGAAACTTCTTTTCACTCTCGCGTGGCCGGGAATCTCTTGGAGTTGAAAAAAGTTTTTTAGATGAGTCTAAATCTATCCTTGTAAGGTGGGCCTACCCCCGAAATTTCAGAATAAATTTTTTTTAATTTTAGGGTGTTGAAGAAGTTTTTGAACTTGGAAAGAAACGTAACTCACTTGCTCTTTAAATTGAAAAAAAATTTTTTTTACAAAAAATGTGTTGTCAACAAAAACTGCCTCTGTGCCATATTTTTTATAGTTCAAAAAATAGAGGTAAAGAATTCTATCACTTTAAAAAAATAACGAAACAGATATTTTTTCTACAAAAAATATATTTTTAAATTAAAAATGAAGTTAATAAAAAATTAATTTAGAAAATAATTTTTTAAAATTTAATTGGGGTTGGAAAACTCTTCACTCTTCTACCAATTGTTAGGTTGAAGATAATTGAGAAGAGATACCTATACAGGGTCCCTTTATCTAGGGCTGGTCCCGTCGAAAAGAACTTTTGCAGGGGAAAGGGGAGATGTCAGGAAATAGAATGTTAATGTAAGAATGGGGTATGAGAATGGCCTAAAAACATCGTCGGGTGAGGAGTCGGGGACTTTAAATCTGTTGGCCTTAAGTTATTTAGAAACAAAAAAGAAGTTTAAAAAAATTTTTTTATTATTTAAATATTAAATGGCAAAAAAAATTATTGACGAAAGAGATTTAAATAATTAGAGAGATTATATAAAATGCGTTTGGTTGTTAAATAATATTGAGTAGAGAAAAAATTATAGACACAAACATAATTTTTAAGGAGGGAATGTTTTTTAGCTACCTATTAAATAAAAATTTTAAGAAGCACCATGCATGAGGGATTGCTTTACCCTCAGAGAATAAAAAAAAACTTGTGGCTATAGGCCTGAATATTAGGGATGGGTCGGGTTGATGAGAAGTAAAAAATTGGGTTGGGTCAAATACTGGGTATGACTCGAAGTCAATGTAAGATTTTAAAACCCCAGAGCTGGGCCAAGGTTTGAAAAAGGTCTGAGTGAGACAGAGTCAACAAAATGCCCCCAATACCAGCAGTACTGGTCGGGTTTATGGATCGAATTTCCAAAAATTTTTTGGATCGAGTTTCTCTAATCAAAAAAAGGACCGAGTTTTATGGGTAACCCGACCTATCCCCGGCCTATAAATACAAAGGTTATATATAGAGCCCGGATTTTTATGCAAATGCATATTTTTTTTGCAAACTTTTCATGATGTGTTATGCACAAAAAACACTGTTTCCGCAAGTTTTGAAAACTTTAGAGGGGGTTTCTATTTGCATATAATGCATATTTTTGCATATTCCGGACTTTGTTGCATAATGCATATTTTACTGCATATTTTGATGTTTTTGGGGAAAATATTGCGAAAATTGCCTAAAATCCTGCCAAAAAGTGAAAATTTAGTAAAAATTTAGGAAAAAATTTGTAAAAATTACAAATTTTGTAAAAAAATTTTTTGCGTTTATTGGTTTCGCCAGAAAATGGCTCACCCCCATAATGTCTCAGCCCCAAAACGTCGCACCCCAAGATGTCCCACCACCAAAATGCTTCATTTCAAAATGCCCAACACCGTAAAAATGCTCAATTTGTCGAACTATACATTTAAAATAGCAGAAATCTTAATAAAAAAATGTATTTTAAATCATTTTGACTAAAAATATGTAAAATTTCTAGGTATAAATGGTATTTTTCATGCATATATGCGTGTATATTTTGGTTTACTTGCATATTTTTGTGCATATTTTGGCAATTTTTTATGCATATTATAGTGCATATTTTGCATTTTTTAATGCATAAAAATCCGGGCTCTAGTTATATATAGGTGAAGTGTTAAGAAAAAAATTTTTAAGGACAAGAATTTGGGCTTGTTAAAGACTTAAATTAAAAACCTTTTATTCCTTTCCAACATATTCTTCCTCCTCTTTTTCTTCTTCCTTTACATTTTTAATTTCTTCAGGAGATAATTTTTGTTTATTTTCTTCTCCTTCATTTCCTTCTCCTTCCTCCCCTCGTTTAAAAACCAAATCTTCTCGAAGTTTATTTTTTCTTCTAAAAATATTATAATCTTCTTCAAAATGTTTTTCCCCTCCATTAGGCTGCTCTTTTTTTGTTATACGCGAAAGAGAAAATTTTTTATTATTCAATTTTAATTGATTTTCTTCCAAATTGTTAATGTTTGGAGGTTTTTTAATTTGTGCTGGAATAGCGGGAATATTTTCTTCCTCTTCTTTTTTGTCAAATGGATCTTGTACCAAATTGTTTTTGGTTTCCAAAGGTGGAGAATCCATTTTTGGAAGGAGAAAGGTGGTGTTGTTTGAAGAAGTTTGTTTTTCGAGTAACTTAAATTTGGGGGAAAATTTTTAAAAAAATTATGGTTAAAAGACGGTCTAGGCCCAGGCATTTTTTGACCTTCATTAGGTTTTTCTGGGCTGGGTTTTTTTCCATGATCCGGCCCAGGTCAATAAATCAAACCCAGGAACAGGCTTTTCAAAAATACGATATCTGGTCATGAGCTACCCTGAGATCTGGAAAATTCGTCCGTTATAATGAGGTGTCTCTTATATAGGGTTAAGTGACACAATACGTTAAGGGTCGTTTATATAGCTCTAACATCCAGTGTCTTATTAAGTTCTTAAACTAATGTAAAGTGTACCTAGCATCGATAGCCAGAAAAATTTTTAAAGGGAGAGGGGGGGTTGAAAGTTTGGAAAGGGAGGTTTGGAAAATGTCACTTATAATGAGGTGTATAAGGTCGGGTCAGTAAAACAAAAATAAAAGCAAACCTTTTGTCGACTAATATTCTCCATAAGATCGTTTAATCTAACATTTTCAATTTGCAAAAGACTAATACGTTTGGACTGTTGATTTATAGATTCATTACAACGTTCCTTTTCTTTAGCAAACAAAGCTTCAATTCTGTCCTTGTGTTTGGAGATTACTAGAAAATTGAAAAAAAATTTGTTTAGAGTGTTTTTGATCAGAAATTTTTGTTTAGAAAATTTTAAAAGATCCAAAAAGTGTGTGCGTCCAACGGGAATCGAACCCGTGCCTACTGCTTGGAAGGCAGCAATGCTAACCACTACACCATGGACGCTCATATCAGAAACTTCAAATAACATTTCTTATAATTAAAGGAAGCGGACTGAGGAGGGAAGGGAATAAGAACCTTTCCCTCAGCTTTCCCCTCTTAAGAATTAAACAAAAATTTAAAAAAACCATTGATTTGAGCACTTAACGAGCTAATATGTTCATTAGCAAAACGTAGCTGAACTTGCAAATCTTCTGTTTTAACCGACAATTGTTGCTTTTCAAGAAATATCCAAAAAAGAAGAAATATTGACAAAAGAAGAATCGAAAATTTACAAAAAAGACGGCCGGAAGAATAATTTAAAGGCACCATTTTTGCATTGTACTAGGCAAATAAAGGAACTAACTGGCGCGAGCAAAAATGGTCGCGTCCAACTGGCCACGCCCGCACCAAAACGTCCGTTTTGTAAAAAGACTATTTTTCTCTAGTTTGCATACTATTTTCCGGTTGGGGTCAAGTGAGAGCCGCCAACTGAGAGCTGCCAACTGAGAGCGGGCAACTGAGAGCCGAGCCAACTGAGAGCGAGCCAACTGAGAGCCGGGCCAACTGAGTGCGGCCAACTGAGAGCCCCTCATGGAAGGGCCAACTGAGTGCCAGTAATTTTAATCAACAGAAAAATTTTAGAATATTTTTTTGTTTGTTTTCTTTTGTTTTTCTTACTTTTTACGTCCTAAAGAATGTTCTAAATGGCAGCCGAGATAACTTAAGACTTTTTTTTTGTTTTTTCGGCCTTATATTGAAGTCTTGGTCTCATTTTGGGTATTGTGACTCGAGGGGGTTTTTTGACTGGACCGATTCGATCGAATGAGGTGTTATTCGAAAGAGCTCATCGAGCTGTGTCGGTGATACCAAAATTACCGTGATTCGATGATTCTGAACAAAATTATGAGGAACTGAATTTTCGCTGAAATGACTGTTTTTGTATTGCTATTAGGGGGTAGATCGTCGTTCAAGGTTGGGAATTAGTAAAAAGGGATAGGTTTATTTTAATGGTGCAGAACCCAGAGCGACCGTTGACCCGGAAAAGTAATTTTTCGGAACATTAATATTTAATAAAAAAATCCTGGCACTCAGTTGGCCCTCTCATAAGGGGCTCTCAGTTGGCCGCACTCAGTTGGCTCGGCTCTCAGTTGGCTCGCTCTCAGTTGGCTCGGCTCTCAGTTGCCCGCTCTCAGTTGGCAGCTCTCAGTTGGCGGCTCTCACCTGGCCCGTTCCGACTATTTTCAGATTATTAATGTTAGCGACATTTTGCCACAACACATTTAGCCAATAAGTCTAAAATTACACGTTTTGCCAACAGAATGGTGACAAAATGCGGGATTTTAGCCTTATTGGCAAAATATGGTTTTGGCAGAATATACCATTGAATTATTTTAAGAGATTATTTTGAAAAATGAGAGCGCAAAGAAAAAATGTCGTGAAGAGCTGTTGATTAGCCTTCGACTTTTCCGTTTTTGACGGTGACGGAAATTCGTTTAATCAGCTACCATGTTTCAAGTCCAACACGTTTGGAGAAGACTTGAAGTTTATTCAAGGTTAGTAACTTTATTTTTATGTTACTTTTTATTTCTAGCCCTTTTAATATCAAAAATCAATGTGGGAATAATTACTTAAAAATCAACCAGGAAATGACTAGGAAGACGATCTCTTTGCGAAAAAACAAGTTTGTTTTAATCCCATTTTTGATATTTTTTTATTTTTTTAGCGGGAAACCTCTTCCCCTTCTCTTCAATTTATTGATTTGTTGCGTGCGAAACTGACCAGCCGGTCAGATTTTTGGGAAAAAAAGAAGGAAAGAGTGGATGACGTGTAAATCTGACCAGCCGGTCAGATTTTTAATGGGAAGAAAAAGAAAAGGAGTGGATGACCACAAGAGGAGAATATTTTCTAAATGAAAATGCTTCAACTTTTAAAATTCTCCTTACCAAAACCAAATATTTTTGCTTTTGATGAATACTTTATTAAAGCTTTTTGGCGTTGGGGATTGTTGGTTTATTGCTTAAGATGGCCTTTATTGCTATTACCTTTTTTGTTGACTGGAATTTTAAGTATTGGATTTGTTTGGATTGAAGAACAGGTTTTTTTATTAATTATATAAGGGGTCCAGTTTATGTTAGGCGGAGTGGTGAAGGGATTTGGAGTTTATGTGACAAAAAAGTGTCGTCCGTCTTAATAACTCGATAGACCTGGGAGGGATTAGGTTACAGAAAATGTCATCCGTCCTAATAACTCGGTAGTCCTTTTGAGTCTCATGGGTTTAGACTTGGATTTCGGATCGGGTTTTCGAAAATTTCTCGGATCCTATATCGGATTTTAATTGAAGAGTTGTCTTTCGGGTAACCCATACATCCCTGATGTGACCTTGGTTAGAGAATTAGCTGGTAGTAGCTTTGCTTTTATAAAGCTTTTTGGTTTATTTTGTTCCCAACAAGCTCCTGTTTAAACGGGCACGTAGTCAGGGAACCCTCCTCCTGCACTAAATTTTTTTGGATGCGTGCCTGAGGTTCCGATCTTCCTTCCCAATCGCTCTTCAATTTTCAACTTTCTTACTTAAGAAAAATTTTTTTAGACTACAAGGGACCCACTTTTTGTTTTTTCACCAGAAAATGCCCGTTGGAGGTATGAAAGAGCTGTTTTAACTCAACATTGGCCTTTGGACGAACAGCATTTTTGGCCTGGAAAATCTTATGATTACAATGGTTATGTGGATGTTATTGCTGCTGGTAGAAGAAGAAAATCTAATTTTGATCCGGAAGGAGTGGCTAGACCAAATATTTTGCTGAGTGGATATTTGAATGAATTGGAAAGGATAAACGAGGTTTTTAAATTTTAATTTTGGGGGAGTCCATTTCCTTTATGTTACAAATTTTGTCAAGTCTTGTATAAAGCCTTGCAGACTTGTGAACTTGTGAGAGCATAAAGTAGAGACTGTACTGGGAGTGTCGTACGGGAATCGAGATCTTGAAAAATTTTCGATTTCGATAATCAAGATTTTCGATCGAAATCTCGTCTCGGTCCGGTCTCTAGTACAAAGCTACCTTCACAATAAATCCGTGTTGTACCTGTCAAAACACGGAGTATTGTTGAAGGAGACACAGAGTCATTGTTTGTTTCTTGACACAGAGTCGTTGTTGACAGTCATTGTCATTGTTGGGAGGGGGGGTCACTTGACTAAACACGGAGCATTGTTGAAGGAGGCAACGCTCATTACAGTCGTGGGAGCCCTGTAAATTGAAATACCTAGCTTTGCTTTAATAAAGGGTTTTTGATTCTTTCGTTTCAAAAAAGTTTTTCTTTTAATATTTTTGTAGCCTCGTATTTCTAAACTTTTGCTGCTTTCGAAATTTTTTTTTCAAAAATATTTTTTTCTTTTTTAGTATATTATTTATAATTTAACTGTGCCACTTCAATTACCCAACAACAATCAAACTTTACAAATTTCCTTTACTGATTTGTGTATGACGTATGCCTGGAAATGTTATGAAAATGAGCATATTACAATGTTACAACCTAAAGGGCATTGGACTGGAAGTGGGGGGTTTTTAAAAGCTGAAATTGTTGAATTGGCTAAAGATATTATTGAAAAAGAGGTTTGTTGTTTTTTCTAAAATTTGTTGTAAAAATATTTTTGGATATGAGACATTTGGAAACATACACCAAAGAAAATATTAAAAAAAATTTTTTTTGAAAAGTTAGAAAAATAAATATTTTGTGAACTACTTGACTTTATTGGACCAAAATTTTGTTTCAGAAGCCAGTATAATTTAAAAAAAAACTTTGGAACCTTTTTTGAAACAAAATTTTTCCCGTTATACATACTAATATGAGCTTGCTAAAGACTAATTAATTACAAAAAAATTTTTTTCTTTGACATGGCGTAGCCACGAATGTCAGGCTGTAAGTATTGAGTCAGTCAAAAAAATTATTTTTAAGAAAAAAAATTTTTCTAAAATTTTTTTACTCTCTTTTTTCTTTTTTCAAGGTCAAAATAACATACCCAATAGGTTGGAGAGGTACCGAACCTTTATATTTTGGAGCACTTGTTGGAGGTGTACATTTAACTGATTCTGAAGGACATTTTAATTATGCTAGTGCTATTCGTTTAACTTATAATGTTCGAGATGGAAATTTAATTGGTCAAGTTAGTGAAAGGTGGAGGAAGAAATTGGCCGAGGTTTTTTTTGGAAATTTAAAAAAAATTTTAGGGGGTCGTGGATTCGAACACGCTCCGGGCCCCGAATTTTTTTAATAAAATAAATTTAAATATTGTTAATTTTGGTTAATTCATGACTGAGAAATGACCCTTAAAAATTTTTTTAAATTGAAAATAAATTTTCTTCTTTAATTTTTTTTTTAAATTTAAGTATTTGACTGACAAAAAGGAACCTGCCAGTGGTATAATTTATTTAAAAAATTTTTTTTAATTTCTAAATTTAAAGATTTACTTGAATTTGGTCTTTATCATAATATGAGCTTACCTGAAGGACTTCAAGTTTATTTTTTAATTTTTTAGAATTTTTTTTCAATTTAAAGGATGTAGCAGATACTTTAATGCCTAAATTTGGTGGGTGTATATTTGTTCTTTTTTTATTTTGTATGGGTTGCAGTATCGTTTTGCTTAGGTTTGTTGATATTTAAATAATTTTTTGAAGAATTTTTGTTTTAAAAAAATTTTTGGAGAAAATTTTTTTTGAAAAAATTTGAAGCAAAAGGCTTCTTAAACAAAATTTTTGCTTCTGAAGCATTTTGCTTTAAAATTTTTTAGCAAACGTCCCTGAAGCAAGTTTTGAAGAAAATTTTGTTACTGAAATAGGCTTTGAATGTTTCTGAAGAAACAAGAAAATGTTTTTAAACAACATTTTTACAAAAAATCAGAAGCAAAATTTGTTTCTGAAGCAAAATTTTGTTTTGGAGCAAGCTTCAAAAAATTTTTAAACATTTTACGAAGTAAAAACCTTTCCTTTTTCTGTTACTTTTCCTCCAAAAATTTATTTTTTAAGCGACACTTCATCTTCTGGAAAACAAACAATTATTGGTATTGACTGGACTCGAAGTAAACCTTTACTTGGATTAGCTGCTCTTTTGTGTCCATTACTTGCTACTTTAAGCGCTTTTGGTTTATTGCTTTGGTTTGGTTGTTTATACAATGCTATTGTTAATGTTAGCCCTTTTATTTGTCTAAGTTTGTTTTTTTTTTAAATTTTTCTAAAAAAAATTTTTTCTGAAGGTATTGGAATTGATGACGCTTTTTTAATGACGGCAGCTTGGCATAGAACTTGTCCTGAACTGAAAACTTCGAAAAGACTGGCTGAGGCTTTAGCAGAAGCTGCTGTAGCTATTTCTATTACTTCTTTTACTGATATGGTTTGTTAAATTTGCACACGGTTAATTCTTTCTCGTAGGGTTGTCTGTTATCAGGCCCGTAGCCAGGGGGGGGGTGAGGGGGGGAATTCCCCCCCCCCCCCCCGAAATGGGAAAAAGGAAAAAATTTGGGGAAGGGCTGGGGCAAAAAAAGTGAATTTTTTTGGCCTACGGCCTCTGAAATTTAAAAAATTTTCGCCTGCGGCGCTAAAAAGGAAGAAATCTGGCTTCTTTAGGTCCAAAATTCAAAAAATTTTCGCCTGCGGCGCCGAAAAAGTGAATTTTTTTGGCCTACGGCCTTCTAAAATTCTCAAAATTTTCGCCTGCGGCGCTGAAAATAAAAATTTTTGGCGCCTTCGGCGCCAAAAATTTGGCGCAAAAAATTTCCCCCCCTCGAAAAAAAATCCTGGCTACGGGCCTGTCTGTTATGGACCGAACGAACTGAGGATTTTTCGATTCGGTTCCTCAGTTCGGTTTCGGATATCTGAAGAATTTCCAGGAACCAACACCCCTACTCTCTAGTAGTTGCCTCAGTTTAATTTAAATAGGAGGCTTAGGGAGTGATTTTGGTAGATTTGGAGGACATTGGGCTAATCATTGGATTTAAGGAACATTGGGAGCTTTGAAGTTATTACAGGAAGATTTGGGGATATCTGTGTTTTGAAATGATATCGGGGTTCTTAGGAGGTTTTGTAGAGATTAAATTGGAGTTAATCATCATTTTAGTTAACTTTTGGTATTGGCTGCTTCACAACTTTACCAGGAGTTCGTTTATTTTGTATGTACACATTTGCCGGAGTTACTTTTACTTATATTTATCAAATCACCTATTTTTCTGCTGTAATGGCTTTTGCTGGAAAAATGGAAGAATTTGGGCAACATTCAATTTTCCCTTTTTGTCAAACTATTGAATTGGATAAAGCTAAAACAAATTTTGAAAAATTAACAATTGTTGGATCATCTCCACGTAGTGAATGTGAAAAAGAAGAGAAACAGGTTGATAATGTTTGGTTAGTCAAATTAAAAAAATGTTGGAATGAAGAGAAGAAAATGAAGGAAATTGATATGAATGAAGAAGAAGACAAGGTTTTATTTTTTAAAAATTAAAAAAAAGGTATTTAGCTACAATAAAGATAATAACATGCAAAAACAAGGCTAAAAAATTTTTCTGCAAAAATATAAAAATTTATTCCCAATAAAACTCGAACCCGCGATCATAAATAGGTAAAACCTAAAATTATCCAACTACAACAGAATTCTCGTTATATAAAATTCTGACTTTAATTTTATTTAGGTTTGTTGTAGCTGGATAGTGTTGGTTTTTCCCTATTTTGGGGTTGCGGGTTCGAATCCTTTTGTCGATTAATTATTTTTATTTTAGCAAAAAATTATTCTACCCAGATTTTATACGTTTTTTTCTTTTGTGACTTTTTTTTAAATTTTTTTAATCAAATAACCCCTTTAAAAACCTTTTAAGGACTTAACAACTAGAACAGCAAAACAAACTTTTGTCAATCGACTTTTCCGAGAAGTTTATGGCCCTTTTCTACTTAACAAAAAAACCAAATTGTATATATTTTTGTGTTATTCTCTTTATTTATTGTTTGCTTTATTGGGTGTTTCGCATATGGAAGAAGGACTTCATCCAAAAGAATTGGTTAAATCTTCTTTTTATTTGACTGATTTTTATGTTTTAATTGATGAAACTTTTTGGAGAGAAGGTTTGGAATTTTGTAATTTTTTTTTGATTTTTTTGGGGGGAATATTGTTTTGTAATATTTAATTATTAGATTTCTTTTATAAATTATTTGAGGGTTGGGGTAGTTGGAAGGTGTTTTGTCCCCTTATTTTCTATTGTAGGTTCGACTACCAGGGTTGTTATTTTTTGTATATTTTTTATTTTTAAAGATTTCTTTTTTAATTACCTTATTCTTACTATAAGTCAGGTTGGTGTAGCTACGTAGATAGAGTGCCAAGTTTTCCCTATTTTGGTTTGTGGGTTTGAGTCTCTTTGGCAGCAGATCATTTTTCTTTTCATAAAAATTATTCTGCTCGTATCTCTTTTAATTATAGAATTTTTTTACAAATTTTTAAATTTTTTCCAGGCCTTCAATTACAAGTTGTTGTCAATAATCCTCCAAATTTTGTAAATTTTACTCAACGTCAAAGGCTCAATCACTTAGTGTCATCATTTGAGGATACAGAATTTACAATGAAACATAATGCTACAATGTTTTGGTTAAACGCTTTTGATGCTAAAATAAAAGAGGATTTGATGGAGAGGAATATTTCTGAACCGAAAACGTTTATTTTTAATTTTTTATAATTGGGGTGGTAGTTCACGGTCCAGGGGTCTTTTGAGTTTGTTTCCTTGGTCTTTGGATCATTTTGATTTTTTGAAGATCGATTTTGGGTTTTTGTTTTTTGGTCAATTGCCAGTGGCAAGAATTATTTTTTTTAATTTTAAAATTTTTTGCAAGTCTTCGTCTTTGATTTTCTTGTTTTTGACAAAAAAATAACAAAATTTCTGTCTTAAAAATCCATCCGTTAATCCATAAATAAAATCAATACCCGTGGAAACGTTTTGCCGTGCCAGGCAAAAATTTGGGCTCACATCCCCCGCACTCCTCCTTCTCAAAAAAAATTTTTTTAAGTCTTCAAGAATGGCATCAACGCTGTCTTGAATGGCTCTTGTCAGCTGGAGGTCGTCGTCTATGGGAATTGGATATGCACTGGATTGAAGGATTCCTAGTTGCTTTTAGATTTCAAATTGGATTGAGAAATTATAGAACCCCCACAGAACATACAAACGGTTTTTTAAATTTTTTTAAAGGGAAATTAAAAATTTTTTACAAAAGGATGTCGTTTAATGCGTTCAATAGCTGACTCTTTTCCTGAATTTAATGTAACGACATTTCATGAATATTATCCATTTTCTGATCAGGTTTTTGATTTTTTTTAATTTTTTGATAAATTTGGATTATTTTGTGAATTTAAAGGGGAGTTTCGCTTGCCTTCTATATACATTTTTTGAGATACCAATTGTGTTCTAATTTGGTTTAACTGGTTAGTGCTAGAGTTTCCCCTATACAGGTGTCGGGTTCGAATCCCACTTATGAAAATTATTTTTATTTTTTTACAAAAAAGTTTTCCTATGAAGTTTTAAAGTTGTTGTTAAGTGTTAGTTTGGTGTAACTGGATAGCTTTGAGTTTTCCTATCTATATGACCAGGGTTCGAATCCCAATGTTGGGAAATAATTTTTATCATGTCAAAAAATGTTTTCCTTTTATTTTTAAAATTTTTAATATTATTCTTCATTAATTTTTAACATTTTTAATTTCAGTATATTGAACTCAAACCTGCTTTATACCGCAATTGTTTAATAGCAGTTTTGTGTATGGGTTTTATTGCTTTATTAATGATTCCAAGTTGGCCAGCAGCTTTTTTCATTATTGCAGCTATTGTTTCTATTGATATTGGTGTTATTGGTTATATGTCTTTATGGGGAGTGAATCTTGAAAGTAAGCAGTTTTTTTTTAAATTTAAAAATAATTTTTTAACACTTTTTAAGGTGTTTCAATGATTACAATCGTGAGTTTTCCAATTTTTTAAAATTCATAACTCCTTTATTTTTGAATATTTTTGAATGATTTTTTACCAATCGATAGCTCAGAATGTGCTTATTATTTTTTATAACTGGACCGTTTAGAGTAGTTCATTCCCTAAAAAGTTACAAGCCGTTAAAGCCATGCAATCGTGATTTTTGAGTTTTAAGTTTATAATTTTTAAGAGGATAGTCTTATAATAATGTCCTGTAAGAAAAAGGATCTACAGATATAGAGTTATCGATTGGTGAAAAAATTATTCGAAACGATCGGAAAATAAGAAAGTTATGGCCGAAAAGCGAGACCAATCCTATTAAAAAAATGTTTTTTCGATTTTAGATATTTTGAAGTTTTCCCTGTTATTATTTCAAAATGTCGACTATTATTAAATTTTTCAAAATGTTCAAATTAGATATTTTGAAAAACTTCCCACGTCAACTTTCGAAATACCAACTCGTTTAAAATATTTCAGAATATCTAAAGTTGACATTTTGAAATATTTTCACTTTAAATTTTCAAAATCTCAAATTTAAAAATGTCAAAATTTAAAAATTAACAATCAGATAATGTCCATCGGTTTTTCTGTTGATCTTTCTGCACACATAACCTATGCTTTTGTAAAAGCCCCTGAAGGATTGTCGTCAAATGAACGAGCTATTGCTGCGTTGGAAACACTTGGTTGGCCTGTCTTTTTGGTTTGTTTTATTTTCAAATTTCTGTAAAAATTTTTTTAACTTTAAAGGGCGCTTTCTCCACAGTTGTTGGAATTATGGTTTTAACTCTAGTAGATGCAGTGATTATTTTAATCTTCTTCAAAACTGTTTTCCTTGTAATTATTTTTTCGTTGCTTCATGGAATTGTTTTTCTCCCAATTTTACTAACTGTTGCAATGCCTAATGAAGGGTGTGTTTGTCAGAATGAAGAAGAGAGGAAATAAAAATGTATAATTTTTTGTTTTGCAATTCTTATTTTGTAAATAATGTATTCGTTTTGTCTTCATAAAATTATGTCTTTTACTTGTTGTTTTTGTAGGTGATCTTTTGTGTTGCCTTCTAGATGATTTTTTGTAGGTGATCTCTTGGGTTAGCGTGTTGGTGATTTCACCCAAGAGATGGACAACTTAAATGTCTCAAGGCACTTTTTTGTATTAAATGAAAGCCTCAGGACATTTCAGGTTACACCCAAAAGATAACTGATAGGAAGGACAACTTAAAACGCCTCAGGGCATTTCTTTAAAATATCTTAAAATGTCCCAGGGTTTATTAGATTAACCCAAATTATCACCCATAAAAATGTCAACGCCTCAGGGCATATTTTTAAAAACTTCAGAGACATCACCAAAATAAATTTATTTATAAATTTAAAGCACAATAAAAACAATAACTAAAACAAAAACTTTAAAATTCTACGATTCACTGTTGTCCCTTTCCCTAATTTTATTTTCATAAATTTCAGTCAGTTTGTTTTGTTCCAATTGCAAAGTACGTTGATGCGAACGGAGTCGTGACAACAATGAAAGGAGAGCACCCTCTTCTTGTCTTAACATGTCCAATTTATTTTTAAGAACAGCGGTAGGAGACGAATCTGGTGGGAAATTGAGAAATTGAAATTTAAAAATTGCGGACAAAAAATTCTTTCGTTGAAATTTGGGTAAAAACCGATTCTTGGTTCCGACCCTGATATATACACGTCAGTAGGACCCGAGTACCTGAGGGCACCTAAAATATTCGTATACTTTCAACAACTATACACAAACCCCTCAAAAACCCCAAGAAAAAATCAAGTTTAAAAACAAACTAGTTGCATCAGCTACAGCAGGTTCTCCATCTTCTCTAACTTCCTCATGTTCATTATCCTCTTCTTGACGTTCTCGTTTAACGGGCAAATTTGATTCCTCCATAAGAATTGGATTATTTAAAATTTAAAGACTAAAATAATTAAGATAAAAGAAACAAAAAATAATTACTGATTTTTGAAAACAAAAAGATGTTATAAAATTGAAAAATAAATTTATTCAAAAAATACAAAAAATATAATCGACCGAACGATACTGATCGATGACTAATTTTTAAATTCTCATTCTAAAACTCAAATAAAGTATCAAAAAACATTAATCTATTATCAAATAAATATAAATAAATAATAATCTTAATTCTTTAGGACCCCCATCCAAATTGCAAATCAACGGCACTGACCTACAAGAGACTCACAGGCACTGACCGTCAAGATAACTCAACGGCACTGACCTACAAGAGACTCACAGGCACTGACCGTCAAGATAACTCAACGGCACTGACCTACAAGAGACTCACAGGCACTGACCGTCAAGATAACTCAACGGCACTGACCTACAAGAGACTCACAGGCACTGACCGTCAAGATAACTCAACGGCACTGACCTACGAGAAACTCACAGGCACTGACCGTCAAGATAACTCAACGGCACTGACCTACAAGAAACTCACAGGCACTGACCGTCAAGATAACTCAACGGCACTGACCTACAAGAGACTCACAGGCACTGACCGTCAAGATAACTCAACGGCACTGACCTACAAGAGACTCACAGGCACTGACCGTCAAGATAACTCAACGGCACTGACCTACAAGAAACTCACAGGCACTGACCGTCAAGATAACTCAACGGCACTGACCTACAAGAGACTCACAGGCACTGACCGTCAAGATAACTCAACGGCACTGACCTACAAGAGACTCACAGGCACTGACCGTCAAGATAACTCAACGGCACTGACCTACAAGAGACTCACAGGCACTGACCGTCAAGATAACTCAACGGCACTGACCTACAAGAGACTCACAGGCACTGACCGTCAAGATAACTCAACGGCACTGACCTACAAGAGACTCACAGGCACTGACCGTCAAGATAACTCAACGGCACTGACCTACAAGAGACTCACAGGCACTGACCGTCAAGATAACTCAACGGCACTGACCTACAAGAGACTCACAGGCACTGACCGCCGAGATATCTCAACCAAAGAAACCCCAAAGGGACACTCACCCAAGGAAACCCCAAAGAGCCAACCCCAAAACCTGAACAGAAGCCAATAGAATTTGCCAATGCACTAACTTGACAATGCACCATTGGAAGAGGTTGTAGAAGAAACTAGAAAATAAATTAAAATAACTGACCAAGAGAATAAATTATTTCAAGGGCATTTTGAAGGGTTTCAAAGCCACAAAGGTACATAGAAAAATCAATATAATTGGTTGACTTCAAATGTAAACCCAGTATTTCAAAGTGTAACCTTAATATCCTTAGTCTCTCAGCCGTTAAAATCGTCAACTAACCAAAAAGCCCTTCAAAATGCCCCAGAAAAAATTTTAAACAAACTCGTTTCAACAGCCAAAGCAGGTTCTCTTCTTCTTCAAACTTCACCATGTTCATTATCCTCTTCTTGACGTTCTCGTTTAACGGGCAAATTTGATTCTTCCATAAGCTTTGGATTCTTTAAACATTAAAAAGATTAATTAAAAGAAACAAAGAAAAAGTAATTATTGATTTAAAAAAACAAGATAACATCTTCACATTTGTAAAATAAATCTATTCAAAAAGATAAACATAAAAACGAAGCCAATTTAAATTTAAATAAAGCTTAAAAATTTTTTGCAATAAATTAAATAAGAAAATAGATCGAATTTAGCGAATATAAAAATTCTTTACCACCAGTAGGATTCGAACCTGAGACCTCTTAAGGAAAAACTCAGAATTTTCCCACTACACCAAAACGTGTTATACACGATTCTGTTAATTTGGCTTTAAATATTTAAAAATAAATAGAAACTTTTTCTTCTTATTTTAACGTCGAGGGCTCTGTCCAACAATTTGTGCAATTTGTCCATTTGCTACTTCCTTTACAATTTGTGAACATTCATCCAATACAGATTTTAATTGTGTAGGTAAAGCACACAAAATTCCAGTATTTGCATTTGAAGAAGCCATAACAAAAACGGCAAATTGGTCAATACTTAGAAGAACAACCTTTAAAAATAAAGCTAAAGTTTAAAGGTTTCCAAGAGTTACTTAAAAGGGTTTAATTTTAAAATAAAAAAAAGGATTCCCACATATGTCAGTAATTGAATCAAAAAAAAATGACTGACATTGGATATAAACTGGAAGAGACCATTCTTCCTAATCTCATCCATCATTCCTTTTTCCCCTTACAAACAGGTTCGAACTCGCGACCGCCTAACCCGTCTAGAATAAATTACGGATTAAGGAAAAAGGAAAGAGCAGAATAGTTAAGAGAGCAGTTGAACCGCAATCGATCATAATTATGAAAGAGGACCTCCCCTAAAACCCATACCTAATCAGTTAATTATCTAAGATTAAATACAAAACCTGGCTCATTTCATAACGAAAAATCCAATATTTTTGTGTCCCCATCCCAAGCTTTCTTGACTGTTCCACCAAAGTATTGTATGAAGCAGAATATTGACTTCTATTTCGTATTTCTTCTCCAGCACTAACTATAGGAACTCCATCAGAATCCAAAATTAAAATTGAATGAACTTCAGGAATTGTTTTAATTAAATTCTCCAATGTCTCAACTATTTTTAAACTCATTTTTTTCTAAAATTTAAAAAAAAATTAAAATAAGCCTTAAAAAATATATAGATATGTAAGCAACATTTAAAAAAAGCAGTTAATAAATTGATTAATTAAAAATTTTATTTAGTTGTAGAAAAAAGGGAATATATGTGTAGATTTAGATGACTGACAAAATAAGGTAAAACCTCGTTTTTTAGATACAACAATAAAGTTGAGAGAGTAGCAAGAGCGCATCTAGGAGTCGGTTTCGGAAGGAGGGGGCCTTGATACGCCTTGGAAAGTAGTACCTTACAAGAGAAGGCTATCTTAGTTATTCCTCCTCCATCAAGATGGCAACAAAAAAATTTTTTAGAAACCCGCATCCTATAGGAGAAGTTCCCTTAAACCTGGAGGTATCACTTATTGTTACCAAACCCTCCAGCCAGTTGCTAACAAAATTCGAAGTATCTTAATCAGGTGCATCCAAGAAACGAGGTTCGACCCTATAAAACCCCTCTATATAATTATCGCCTTGAACTATATCGACTGTCCTTGTTGTATCTATCTTTCGATCTGTGCCTTTTGTGCTTCTTCTCTTCCTTTCTCTTCTTTGATTTTTTGTCTTTGTGTTTGCTCTTCTTTTTATCCTTTTCATCATCGGAATTTCCCGATTTGAAAATTTTCCTGAAATAATATATTGAGAAAGGTTCAAATACTCCTTAAAAAACCTCATAATTTTGTTCCGCCTCTTTTCACTTAATCCCATAAGAAATGAATGAAATTGCGCATTGTTGTCTCCACTACCAGCAACTGATGTTGTTAGCTTCTAAAAATATTCAGGATATAGAGTTGTCAGTTTCGCCTAATTCTCCAGGTAACCGAAACCTAGACAAAAAACGAAACGACATTTTTGGCTAACCTAAACCGAGAAATAGACACCAACTTTTCAGTTCAAAGTCTTTTGTGGATACCCCACTACCCGCCCTCTCCCTTTAGTTTGATCTCGGAAGTACAAGGAAGTCTGACCACTATACACATATTAAATTCTGTCACTCAAACTTGAGGGAGGCGCGATCTACACCAAAAGTACCCAGTTTGGATTGTCCCGAAAACCCTATTCAAAAAAGTCAAAAAAACTAAATCTAACCTTTATATTTTCGTCAGCTCTCAAAGTGCTCAAAATTCCATTTTTAAATTTCAAATTATGTTCCTCTTTCATATCCTCAAACAGCTTTTCTTGTGCAATAGGCTCCCTTTTCTTCTCCTCTTCTTCATCAACCTCCTCCTCTTCCTCCATTTTCGCTTCAATTTCAGATTGTCTTTTTTTCATTTTTTCTTCTTTTCTTTCACTTCTAGTCTTTGAACGAATTCTTTCTTCTTTATCTTTGTCAATTATGTATTTTAATTCTTCATCTTTTTCTTCATTTTTAGAGACCACAAAACTTGAGGATGTTGAAGGCCCTTCTCCATTTGCTATCTTTTCTCGACGCAATTCTTTTATTAAATCTGACGGATTGTTTGCATCTAAAAATTTTTTTTGGTTTTTAAAACAGAAAAATTGTAAAAAAATTTCAGCAAAAAATTCATCAGAAAAAATTTTTGTTGGTTAAGTGGGTTAATTGTAGGTCCTCAGGAAAGAGGGTCGAAGGTTCGACCCCAATAGGTTGTTAAACATTTATTTAGTCAAAATAAACTATTTTTGAGACACAAAAGACCCCCTATTTTCTTCAAAAAAATTTTTTATTTAAAAATACCCACATCCATGATCTTCAGCATTTCCACTCATTCCATAAAGAGGGCATTCCCTGTCAGTGTTCAAGTGACCCCAAGCTTTGCATTTGACACAGCGAACATTTCGTACCTGAAAAATAAGTAAAATCTACTCTAAAAAGGTTCAAAATAAACCTGAATTCCAAAAGGTTGGTCCTGTATCAATTCATTATTTTTAGCCCAATCCTCCCTCGGAGCATTGTATTTTCTTTGCCATTCAAATTTTGGTTCAGGCCCTTCTTCCTTCTTTTTATTTATTCCAGCAGGTGCTTCATACATAAATGAAAGTCCAAGTTTTGCCTTTTCATCACCCAAAAGCGCTTTGTTTTGGAATATTTCTTGCTCCTTTTGGTATTGAACACGAAGTTCTTCTTGTCTCTTTTTCTCCATTTCATCCTTTTGTTCTGCTTCCCATTTCTAGAATTATGAAGAAAATTTATTTAATATCAAACTAAAGACTTGCTTACTCGTTTAAGGTTCCACCATGCACTAGGATGGAAATCCTTCTTTGACATAAAATTTTGGAATCCCTTGCCCATCTTGACGATTTCTCCAAGCTTCTTATATTAATATGTATATAATCTAAGAAAATAAACGTTTACTAAGCAGGAACAAGCTAAAAAAGTATAAAAATTAAAAAAAAAACTCCTCACCAAGTTAAAATGAAATTCTAAAAAAATGCAAAACTTGAGAGAGATAAGTAAAAATGAGGAGAAGTTAAAGAAAAAAACAAATAAAGCAAGAAATGGCCAAAAAATTGGAAATGGACGAATTGAAAGTTGGTGTTTTGAAACTACACGTCATTTTACATTTTCCTTCGTATTTCTTTCTTTCTCAAACCTTTCTCTCATTTTTACATAATCTCTATTGAAAATTTGTGTCTGTCCCAAAAAGAGAATAGTTGATATTTTGAAATTTTCAATGCTTGTTTACACTTTTGTCTCAACTAATTTTCTTTTCACTCTCTAACCACTCTCTCAATTTTATATAGTCTTTTTGGTAAATTCATACAACGTCCCATCATTTTTTCGACAAATCCGGACTGAAGATCAAGGCTTTCCATTGTCATTAAATGACAAAAATATTAACATATTTTACCAAACATTTTACTAAAATACAATATTTTTGTTTTAGAATAAGAGAAAATGGCCTTCGCACAAAAAGGAAAATTAATGGCAGTAATTGGTGATGAAGACACCGTTGTTGGTTTTTTGCTTGGGGGAATTGGGCAAATAAATAAGGCACGCAAATCAAATTTTCTTATTGTGGATAAAAATACACACGTTTCAGAAATTGAGGAAGCATTTCGAAGTTTTTGTTCTCGTGACGGTATGTGATATGCTTATCCTAATTAATGGCCCCCATGGTTAAGTTGGAAAATTTTTAATTTATACTGTCCAATGGTCAAAGGTTCGAACCCCATCCTGGGAAAACCTTTTTTATTTCCAAAAATTTTTAAATTAGGGTCAAAAAAGAGTTGAGACATTAGATCCCAAAATTTCTTTTTTAAATTTTCCCCTAAAATTCCCACAGATATTGCAATTATTCTAATAAATCAACACATTGCCGAAATGATTCGTTACCAAGTTGATCAACACATTGCTAGCATTCCTACAGTTTTGGAAATTCCATCGAAGGAAATGCCGTATGATGCTTCTAAGGTTTTTTTTCTGAATTTTTTCTTTCCTTTCAAAAAAAATTTCTTTTTAAAGGATAGTATATTAAATCGAGCACGTGGTCTAATCAACCCTGATGACCTTAAATAAAGAGGAAAGTTCCAGGGAAAAATTGGAAGGATAAAAATAGAATAAATACATTTAGTATTCACTTTTAATTTTTTAATTAAAAAAATGTCTGAAATGGATGGCTTATTCAAGTTTTCTTTTAAAAAAACCAAAAAAACCTCACACCCTTTCATTGTACAATTTTTAATTTAGAAAAGTAACTTGGATTTGCCTCAATTTCAAAGAAAATTGTAGTAATTAAAAATGATTTTTTAAATAAATATTCCTCTTATATACCAAACACGCTTTTTTAAGCAAAAAACCCACCAAACAAATCTTTGGTTAAGTGGATAATTTTTAAACTCGTAAGGAAAAAGGTCGTGGGTTCGAATCAGTTTGGTGTTTAAACAATTTTTGATTCAAAAAACATTCCGAAAAATTTCTGGTAAATTTGTTTTCAATCAAAAATCGTCAAAAAATTCATTTTGGGACCAAATGTCATCCCCTTACTTAGATCGTGGGTTCGAATCCTTTGGTGGTCAAATATTTTTTAATTCAAGAAAATTATAAAATATATTTTTCTTATTAACTAACCTATTTAGAAATTTGATTAAAAAATTTTTTTTATTGAGGTGAATATGCACATAAAATTTAAATTATACAATTTTTACTTTGTCAAAAAAGTTGCCAAATTTTTGCTCATTTAATTTTTTTAAAATTACCTTTTCTAAAAAAATGTAAAGATATAAATAAATTTCAACGATTCAGGCTCATTCCACCATCAACTCGTTGAATTGTCACCTTTAAAAAATTCAAAATTTTAAAATACCCCCAGATACCCCATACATCATCTCCTTATAAGCGATACCCCTCTATACAATATACCCTCTATTTAAGGTACACCAACTTATAAAATGCGCAGTTTTTTTAATTTGGCTGGCTAATGGGTGAGAGTGTCCTCAACCTCTGAATAAAGAATCTTGCAGTTTGGTTAAGTGGGAAATATTTGTGTTCAGTGGGAGTGAGGTCGCAGGTTCGAACCCGCTCCGGGTAAAACTTTAATTTTATGTTTTAGCCACTGGGTGGGGGAGTTGTATAAGCGATACCCTCTATTTAAGACACACCTTATTATAAGATACCCTCTATTTAAGATACATCTCCTATAAGATTATTTTTTCAGCCCCAGGGGTCTCCAATTGTGAGGACATCCTATCAAAATATAAAAAAAGGAAAAACAAACATTAATTCCCAAATTTCCATTTTCTGCAAAAAAATTTGCATGGCTTGTATCAAAAGCTAAACAATCTGACTGGGCAATAGCTGCTGCAACACCTTCGTGAATACTTCTTGGACTGGCTTCCCAAAATAAACGCCTTCTATTATTTGAAAGTTCTAGCCTTTAAAATAATTTTTTAACCCCTCAAAAAATTAAAAAAAAAATTCAACAAACTTGTAAACAAAATTTTCAGCTTCTTTTTTAGTTCCAATTAATTGTACTACAGCATAAAACATTTGATAACTTGTTCCTCCTTGTCTATAAAAAATAATTATATTTAATTTTATATTAAAAAAAATTTTTTTTACTCTTGTTTGTCCTGCTTTTCCAAAACTAACATAAAATAAGCATTGTAACAAGACTGCATCATTACCTGAAAAAAAATTTTAAAAATAAATGACTTTTTTGACAACTGATTTATTCATTTAAGAGGTCGTGGGTTCGAACCCGCTTGGGGGTCAAGCAATTTTTAATTCAAAGAAATTATCAAAACTATATTTTTTAGTCAGAAGCCTATTGAAAAAAACTAGCAAATTAATTTTCAGTCGAAAATTGTCCAAAAAATTTATTTTTGGGACCAACTGTCATCATTCAGTGAGGTCGTGGGTTCGAACCCGTTCGGTGCCCAAACAATTTTATGATTCAAGGAAATTATCAAAACTATATTTTTTAGTCAGAAGCCTATTGAAAAAAACTAGCAAATTAATTTTCAGTCGAAAATCGTCAATAAATTTAGTTTTGGGATCAAATGTCATCATTTAAAGAGGTCGTGGGTTCGAACCCGTTTGGTGCCCAAACAATTTTTTAATCAAAGGGGAATATCAAAAAATATCCTTTTAAGTCCCAAACTATTTATTTTGAAACCTAAAAATTCAGTTTGGGATCAAATGTCATCCCTCTAATTAAAATAACAAACCCAGTCAACTGCTCCAGGCAAATTAATATCAGTTGCAAGAAAAACAATATCCTCTCCCTGAAGTGTAGTAATCGATTTATGCAATTTCATTAAATGCCCCATAACATCGTTCAATCCTCCCTGCCATTTACAAGAAGCACCAGGGCATGGGCATTGATATGGACTGAAATAAAACGAAAAAATTAATAGTTCAAAAAAATTTTCGTGATAGTAAAACAAAGCAGTTGGACCCTTATAATCCCAATACCAGATAGGATTCATTTTAAAGAAATCCCCTTATATGTCAGCCAGAATGTGAGGAGTTGCTTCAGCAATCTTTAAGACCACAAGTTTTATGAGCAACAGGCCCGTAACCAAGAGCCCCCCCCCCCCTCGAAAAAAATCTTAGTTACGGGCCTGATGAGCAAGATAGAACTTGCGGACTTTTTTAAAGATGGTACTACTATAACTGTCACAATGTCAAATTTACCCATCTATTTGAAATACCTTTCCCATCCCTAAAGGAGTATCTTACAACAAAATCTACCCAAAAATCTAATAAAACCCCGAAAATTTAAATTAACCGAAATTCACAAATTTCTTCATGTTCAACTTTTTCTTGATGAAAAAAGAATTGATTACAACCAGAATGTGCAAATTTACAGGGAAATTGAAGATTTGTTGCAATTTTTTCCATTCCCAAATTTCTAATGTGCGGCACTGGGCCTTTAAATTAACAACATTTTTTAATTAATTAAAAACTAAAAAACCTCTACATGTAGGGCACGCCGAAACTTTTGGACGACAATTTCCACAAACTAAATGGCCTGCCTGGCATTGTAAATATGGAGGTAGCATATAATCTATTGAATTTAAATAGTGAAAAATAAATTTTTTAAAGCCTAAAAACTGGTCCTATTATTACCCATAAAAGTCGCTTTACTCATCTTTACAACATAAAAAACGACCCTAAATCGTGCGCAAAATCGTCTGATGTCAAAATCTTTCTTCTCTTTTCCCTTTATCTCTCTTGCCGCAAGAGGCTGAGATTTTTTATAACTGTAGCGGCTTTCTAAATCCGACATCCTATCCGAGAACTTAGAAGACCCGATTCGAAATCCGGTATGAAGCCGTTTGCCATTTCGGCAGCTTTTGGTGATTTTTTGCCATAAGGGATTTTTGACATAACGACGCGCTAAGCGTAATCCTATTCGACATTTTTCTCTGCCCAGTCTATCCCTGTTCCAAACAACTCATAAAGGTTCATTGGACTCATAACCGTCAAAAACTTTAATAAAAAATTAATCTTAAAATTAAACCTGAGGGAGAAGAAGGGTTAAACCTGAGGGAGAAGAAGGTACTTTTCTGCTTTGCCACACCCCACCCATATATTCGCAGGATATATTTTTTATTTCTCCTTTATTTGTACAGAAAGGTCAATTTTCTTTCTTCCTCAATTTTCCCTCTGGCATGTTCAATGAGAGACACCAAAAAGAGAAGATTAATTTTTCTTTCCAATGTCATCAAAATTGAAATCAACATTTGGGAAAATCGAGTGAACACGGAAGATTGAGTCCACAGAGCAAATTAAGTGAAATTGTGGAAGAAAGAAAACTGACCTTTCTGTACAAATAAAAGAAAAATAAAAAATAGGGTGTGGCAAAACAGAAAAGTACCGAAGGGGGGATATTCACCCCAAACCCCTTAAAAATTCAAAACAAAACCTAAACAAACTGGACATTCAAAGGCTGATAAAAGTTCAGAACTAGCCGATCCAAGTGGAAGAATTCCCTGCCCAGCAGGGTTAATAACCGCGGCAACAATTGCATGTGTTGAAGTTTGGGGGATTTGTTGAGGAGCTGCTAAGCCTGCTGGGAGGCTGTTAACCATCATTGCTAGAAAAGAAAAAAATTTACAAAAAATTACTGAAGTCTCAGAACCCTGGATCAATCTCGAATTTTCGACCATTTTTATTAAGAATAGAAAATCGTGACTTGCCGGCATTTTTATTTGGAGTCTTGAATTCTAAGGGAGCAAATGTCTCACATTTGTGTTTCTTAAAAATCGATAAAGTTCCCTCTCTCTATCGACCGGATTCCTTAAACAAAAGAAAAAAAGAGAGGTAAAAGTTCAGCCCCAAGCAGGCATCAAACTGCAACCCTCTAGCAGAAATTGCCAAAAGGCTCTCGTCACCACAGACAGAACTCTACCGACAATGAGTTACCAGAACGATGTGCCTTCGCCCTTTTTAAATAGCAAACCTCCTTCTTAATAAGCGCCAGATAGTAAGCGCCAGATATAATAAGCGCCTTAATAAGCGCCATCTGCCTTCTTTCCCCACGAAAATTTCTATGGTTCTGAAAATCACGACAATCTATCCACACCCAAATTATTAGATTGCTCGGACCAGGGATCCTAATACCAAGGGCGTAGCCAGGGGGTCGATTTCGGGGGGGGGGCTTCAGCCCCTGGTTACGCCCTTGCCTAACACCCCCAAAAATCGAGAATTTTCAAAAAATTTAAAAAACCTTTTTCATCAACTTACTCGCAGCATGTGTAGCCGCCGATATTTTTGAAGTGTTTCTTTGATTTGCCGGCACAAAAAACGTTACGGGTCCATTCTGTCCATTTAATCCGGTGGAGTTTGTGGGTGAGGGGGGTTCGTTGCTTGAAGATGTTGATGACATTTCTTGAATTTTGGCCATAAAATAAACACAAAATAATAATAAATTAACAATTCATATTAATTCTCGTCCTGAAAAAATAAAAAAAAATTCCAAAAATTTTTCAAAAATTTTTGAAAATTTTTTAAAAATTTTTAAAAAATAGGGGTGAGGGAAGGGGGTCACAAACCTAACGATTTTTCTACATCCTTTCAACCAAACCAGCTAATTTATCTCTCTATTTAAAGCATACAAAGCCATCATCACACATTGACTTACAAACAAAAGCTACCAGCCATTTTTCTTCTTTTTCTCTAACCGTCTCTCCTTCTTTCACACACTCTCTCTATTAATCTATCCTAAAAGCTAACATCCCCAAAATATCCAAGGCTCATTTTTTTTATTTTTAAACGATATAATGTTAGAATATTAAACTAAAAAATAAACAAAATTTTTTATAACTTTAAAAATCTTTTATTCGATGAAAAAAAATTTTTTTTTGAAAAAATTAAAAAAAATTTTCCGAAATTTTCAGAAAATTTTCAAAAAAAAATTTTTTTTATTGAATTTATTATTAGGGATATTTGTAGTGATTTTAAATATTATTTTTAACTCTGGAAAAATGAAAAAAGAAAACAGGAAAATATTTTACCCTGAAAGGAATCGAACCTTCATTGAAAATATGGGTAGTCCTCAACACTTAACCACTACACCACAAATACCCTAATAAAAAATTTTTTGAAAAAAAATTTTTTTTGAAAAGTTTAAAAATTTTTTGAGTTTTTAAAATCAAAAATGAGCAAAATAATAAAATATCTCAAAAAATATTAAGAAAAAATTAATTTTTTTAACCTAAATCCATCCTTTTAATCCTTCTTTTTTGCAATAGGATCCTTCTTTTCAATCACAGATTTTTTGCTTTTATTTGGAATTACACAACATTTTACATATATAATTGTCCAACAAAGTAAACGAACAGTTAATTTAAGCAAGTTTAATAACAACCAGATTGATAAGAGAGTACAGCCAATTAAAAATAATGTTACATCAACCAAGAAATACTTAAAAAATTAAAAAATAAATTTTTTGATAAGGGTTCGGTTCTCCCCATGTGCAAAATTTTTTAAAAAAATTTTCAGAAACTTTTAAAAACAAAAAAAATATTTTTTAGTCCAAAAAAAGCCTCGAAAAATACATATTTCCAATGAGAGGAATCGAACCTGCATCGGTGACCCCTGTAGTCCCCAACACTAACCATTACACCACCAACGCCTACAGAACAAAACCCAAAATTATTTTCCTTATTTAATTCAGAATAATTCACCAAAATAATGCCCTAATCTATTTTAAAAAAAAACCTGAAATATATTCAAATCATCAGCACCAGAACGTGCATGAGGCACTTCTTGATGTCTAACTATAAATTCTACCCAAAATGCTGAGTGGTTTAATTCTGTATAGGGAACATCTATTAACATATCCTTTAAAAATAATTTTTTAAATTAATTTCCCCAAAAAGTCACAAACATTTTGTGAAGATCGAGCTGGGTCTGGACCAAGGTCTGGGTTTTTCCTGTACCCAGAGTACAGGCCCAGGCATTTTTGACCTTCCTGGGTTTTTCCTGGACCCTGCAGGGCCCAAGATCCGGCCCAGGTCAATTAATCAAACCTAGAAGTCAGGAACATGCCCTCCCCCCCCCCAAATCTAATCCTACCCCTCCCCTCAACTTATTTGTCTAAAATTTCAAAAAAACCTGAAATACAAGCATTTCTTCTTTATAAAATTTTATATAAATTCTTTTAAATGCTGACAGAAATTGTTTTTGTGTTGGACGTTTTTGTTCAATCATTAAACCGGCTTGACGTGCAGTAACCCGAAGGAGGTTATCTTTGGCAGTTGCGGTTAATGGCCAGCCAATTATTGGGGTTCCATGCCAGACACTTTCAATTACGCTGTTTAGACCTTTAAATAAAAAATAAGGGCTTTATTTAAGAAGAAAGGACCTAAGAAAAATATAAGGACATCAAGAGCGTATCGAGGGGCCGATTTGGGAGGTTTCCCCTTTCCCCATTTCGGGGGGGGGGGGGGGCTCTAGCCCCCTGGATAGCCCTTGAAGGACATATCGAAAAAATCCAAGAATTTCTAAGAAATAAAAAACAAACAAACCTCCATGTGAAAGGTGTCCCTTGCATTTTGGATGAGCTTAAACAAACAAAAGCTGAAATTTTAAAAAATTCTAAAAACCAAGTAATTGTTGTTGTGGCAACCACTCGGATGTGAAAAGATTTGAGGGAGGGTTTTGAAGTGCTGGGCCATTGTATTGCCAAACAAATCGTCTAAATTAACGTCAGAAGTGATATTTAGAAAATAGAATATTAATGAAAAATTGGGCGTTTTGAGTCTTGACATTTCAAAAATGGGACATTTTGAAAATTTTCCAATTTGAAAATTTTCCAATTTGAAATCATTCCCAATTTTAAAAAATTAATTTAAAAACCCACGTATCATTCATTTCTCGAATTGCCCCAAGGAGATTTTCCTTAATTAAAATTCCTTAAAATTTCAAGTATTAAAAACTCACAATAACATCCTTTGGAGCATTTGCCCATTGAATTGTAAATCCTCCACTAATTAAAATAAATCCACGCTCTTCATTTGAATTGTTTATAAATTGAGATAATTTCTAAAAAATATTTTTTAAAAGTTTTTAAAGCTTCAAACCGTGTCCGCCCATTTATTTTTACTTTGATTTCGGCAATGAAGACCTCCAACAAAATTGACACGAGGCACTAAATTTAAAAGTTTTACTTAATTAAATATTTTGAAATTTTGGCTAAAAATGATCAAATTGACAATTCACATTCTGGAAAAATTAAAATTTCAAGCTTTGGAGCTTTAAAATTAACATTTCGAGCTTTGGAGAACTCCAAAAGCAAAAATTAACATTTCGAGCTTTTGGAGTTCAAAATGTCAAGTTTTTAAAATGACAAGGTCTCGAAATGACAATTTTCGGAAAATCCAAGGAAATCCAAGGGGATTTTCGTAAAATTGACATTTCGAGACCTTGTCATTTTAAAAACTTGATATTTTGAACTCGTGACTTTTAAATAAATTTTTTTGACTTTTTTAGAAAAATCAAAAAACTGACACTTCAAACCCGTCATTTTTAACCCCTAGCTTCTCGGGGGCATTTAAAAAAATAATTAAAAAAACAAACTATAAGGCCTAGCAAAGTCAAAAATCGGCGGATTATTCACAAAATTAATGCTCGCATTTCTCTCAATAGCAAATGATTCTGGTACTTTATTTGGATAGTATTTCTAAAATAAAATTTATTTAAAAAATTTTTTAACTAAAAAATAAACCTCAAATAATTTATCCATCCGACGAAGAATTAAATGTTGATGAATATATAATTCTCTTAAATAAGCAAATAAATTGTAAATTCTTGACCAGAAGCCTAATTCATCCGTTAATCTGTTAAAAAATAAAAAAATATAAATCATGTTTCCTTCTAATTATCTAGCCAAAAGTCCGCAGGTTTTTTCCGCAAGTTAGAAGAAAGTCTGCAGGTTTTGTCCACAATTTAAAAAAAAGTCCGCAAGATAAGACTTGCGGACTTTTAGGCTAACATAAATAATTAAAAAGAAATATTTATACCCAGTTCCAGGCACAGGAATGTAAGATGGAGGGCTAGGGCTTTGATTTGCCCAGGCCGACTCTGTTCTCAATCCAGTCATTGACCAATAAACAAAAAGTGATTTTTGAAGTCCGACATGGAGAAGAGCACAAGGATTGTATAAATCATCAATCTAAAATTTTATTTTAGTTAACCCACAAGATCAACCATTTAGAGGGTAGGCTGGGGTCTGTTTCAATTAGGATCACATCTGCGATGTGATGATATGATGATCATATGCGTGTTCCAATTAAGATCATATCATCATATTGTCATAATCATATGCAGGAACCTCATATGACGGCTGCATATGATTTGTCCGTCATATGACGACGTCGTATCATCATATGATTGTTTCAATTAAAAATCATATTTACGATATGATGGTCGTCATATCGTCATATTTCCGATGTTAAGGAAAAGGGAAAGAAATATTTTTAATTTTTCCCGATTTTCCTTGTGTTGATGTGTGGCTGAATGGTTAAGGCGACTGGCTTCACTAACTGATATTTTCATCCAGGCTGGGTCCAAGGCTGGAAATTAGGCCAAAAAAAATTTTTTTTCAAAAATAAATGTTTTTAAACTTTCATTTTCATTTTAGATTTTTAAATTTATTTTTTTTTAATATTTTAAACTTGAAAAAACATTAAAAATTTTAATTTAGTCATTAATTAGCCAAAATTCTCAAAATTTTCGCCTGCGGCGCAAAAAATGGAAGAAATGGGAAGGAACCCCAGGGACGATATTCTAAGAACGAGGTTGCGGGTTAACCAACCCACAGCTGCGGGTAGGCTAACCCAGAACCCTTATTCCAGAATGCGGGTGAGGGTTAAAATCCGATGAGGGTTAAAATCTTACCCGCATCTTTTTAAAAATTTTTTAAAAATCCAAACTCAATCGAAAAATTTCAAATTAAATATTTTTAGATAGATTAGAGTGCTGAAGGGATCTCGATGGATTTGGAGTGATTTAAGTATAGATTAAATTAATAGGATTATGTGGGATCGGCTTAGAATTGACAGAAGAATAATATCCAAACTTTTAAAAAAGTTAATTTTATTTTAAATTGTCTAATTTTGGGGGATATTCCAATTGGGGGATATTTAATCTTGCCAATCGAAAAAAGGCGGTAGGTCTCTCCATATACCTTTGATATTCCCCTTGATCCCCACTAATCCACCGATATCCCTTTAATCTCCAATTTTTATACCAATAGATAGAGGAGAGTGTTTTACATACTATAATTAAAAATCAGAATTTTAGCTTAACTTTCCTAAGAGTTACAAAATTTAATTGATGCTTGATTGAAATAATCAAGAAAAAAAACAAATAAAAAAATGCCTATTGGAGAGAATGAGTCCCTTCGCTCAAAAATGGGGTACTTTACGCGAGAGGGCATAGATAATTTATTTTTCAACGAAAATTTTTATAAATTATATCAAAAAATAGAGCACACTCTATCCTATCTAAAAATATTTAATTTAGAATTTTTAGGTTGAATTAAAATTTTTAAAATTTTTTAAAAATCTCTTTAATTGGCACATATGTACCAAAAAGCACGTATGTCTACATATGATGTTTCCAAGGCAAAACTCATCATATGACGAACATCATACGTCTCAATATTTTGTAATTGAAACATACGTATGATTAATCATATGAGAAATCATACGCCGCGTATGATTCTACGTACGATGTGATGATCACATCAGCGATGTGACGATATGATTAATTGAAACACGCGTATGATTTTCTCATATGATTAATCACATCTGTGATGTGATTATTCGTATGATTTTCCTGAAACACGCATCGGGGATATGATTCTTCATCACATCGTATCATCACATCGCAGATGTGATGCTAATTGAAACAGGCCCCTGGTCTCTGGATTGGGTGCAGGGGTGTGCCGAAAGACGAAACCCCAAAAGACGAAATTCAACGAGGCACAAAAAGAGGCGAAACTGGCAACCCCTTAAATATTGATCCTGCGGAGGGAGGGCATAAACCTTGGCCAAGAATCCTTAATAAAAAAATAAATATACCACAACAGCAGCAAACTCTCTTTGAACAAGTTTATCAAAAGCATTTTTGTGTTCCTTCAGAACAGCCCGGCATAAATCCAAAGAGGCCAACCAACCATTTGTTTTTTCCACTGGCACCCAAAAATTTTCTTGCCAAAGTTGTGAATTACTTGTTAGTTGAATTTTGCCTTTCTGGTTTAAAAGTGCTGTGACTCTTGGGGCATTTTCTATTCGCAGAAAAATTTCTTCAACGCCTTTGGGCAGTAAAATTGAATCGTGCTAAATTAAAGGGATATTTAAAATTTTTTAGTTATACAGGGAAAGTCCACAACTTTTTTATCCGCAAGTTAAAAAACAAGAGTACCCTCCAAAGATCCGCAAAAAAACTTGCGGACAAAAATATGCGGACTCTCCGCAAAAGTTGCGGACTAATTAAAAAATAAAACTAACAGGTCTAAGTCCATATTCTAGCCAAGTAACCGAATGATTACGTTTTAACAATTCCGCTGCCAATTCCCTCATTGTAAATCTGTGTACAGGGCTCAACCAGCTAGGAGATATTAATATATTTGCTCCAAATGATCCATCAAAAATTGAGAAAATAAAAATTAATAAAAATAAAATATAGTTAGTCATTCTGAGGCTGAAAACAAATTTTAAAAAAAATTTTTACATTTTGGTTAAGTGGGATTGCTTTTGGTTTGGTCACTTTTAGGTCGTGGGTTCGAATCCCTCTACGGCCCAAGGCGTTTATATTTTTATTTAAATAATAAAACCTCTAAAAACGTCATTATTATAGCTTTAAAAAATATTTTTATGATTAAAATATCAACAAATAATGATAAAAATTGTTAAACTGATAAGAAAATATTAAGAGGAATCAAAAGAAAAATTAATTATTTAAGCACAAAATACACAAAAAGAAAGTCTATAAATTATATTAAAAATCAGCCAAGAAAAAAATTATTTTTAACACAGAAAAGAGAAAAAAATATATTTAGTGAGTGTCACAAAATTGATTTTATTTACCAACTAGATGGAAACCACTTAAAAGTTATTATAAAAACATGAGGAAAAAAAGAGGAAAATGGCAAAAATAGAGTTAAAAAAATTTAAAAAATAAATTTTGAAAGTGACATTATGCCAAAAAATATTTCAAAAAATTTTTTGCCAAAATGCCAACCGACAAAATGCCAACTAAATTTTTTTTCAAAATGGTAACTTTCAAAATGTCAACTAAAAAATTTTTTCGTATCAAAAAATAACCGTTACCTCTCCAATTTAATATTTACAATTTTTCATCGATTTCATCAACCCCCCCTCGATTTTTGCTACTACTCATTGATGCTTGTCTGTTCCTTAGGCCGTTGCTCTAAAAATTTTTTTAATTGAAAAAATTTATTTTTTAAATTAAAAACCTGCCTGTGTTGTTGTTGTAATTATAGCATCATTTAATAGTTCCAAACCAAGCATTGCACTACTTTCTCTGGTCGGGATTGGACTGCGTAATTGACTTGTTCTCGGAGGGATTAAGGGTTCTTGCAATAATCGGCCTCCTCCACTTCCATCCACAGGGTTTTGTGCTTCATTTGACCGCCATTCATTGAGCCAATAAGTATTGACCTTGAAAAGAAAAATTTCAAAAGGGTCAGATTTCAAAAGGGTTCAAAATGGTCAGATTTCAAAATGGTCAGATTTCAAAACGTCAAAAATACAAAAAGGTCAACGCCGAAAAACTTACAAAATGGTCAATCACCCAAAAATCTTAAAATGTCAAAAATGTCATAATGTCAAATATCCGAAAAAATTAAAAAAATATCAAATACCCAAATAAAATACCTCTCCTTTCCCCTTCACTTTGACAATGCCTCGTTTCGTCAACTTATACTTTGACACTCCCATTAACAAAAGCGCAGTAGATTCGCTCATTTGGATTTGGTTGGGTGCCGCATTGCTCTGCATTCGAGAAGCAAAGTTGACCTGAAAGAATGGACGTTTTGAGATTTTGGCGTTTTGAAATTTTTTCCATTTCGACATACAGTATCTCCAAAAAGGCAATATCGAGGTGCTTTAATTCCAATAACCCCAGCAGCAATAGGCCCACAATGATAGCCAATTCTTAATTGTAATTTCCAATCAGGGAAATTTATTGATTTGTAAGTGTAGGAAACCTTTAAAAATCAATAAATTTAAAAAAATTAAAAAAACCTCTCTAAATTCCATAGCAACTTCTGATATTTCAAATACATGTCTATTTTCGTTCTCGTTAGGGACTCCCGATGCGACCATATATGTCTATAAATGTGACGAAATTAATTCAAAATATTTGCGAAATTTCGTGATAATTTCGAAATTTGTGATAATTTCGAAATTTCGAGATGATTTCAAAATTTCGTGATATTTTCGAAATTTCGTAATGATTTCGAAATTTCGAGATGATTTCGAAATTTCGTGTAATTTCGAAATTTCTTAATGATTTCGAAATTTCGTAATGATCTCGAAATTTCGTAATGATTTCGAAATTCAAAACGTCCAAATTCAAAAATGTCAAAAATCATAAAACTATACCTCTCCAGTAGTCTCAACCTTGTAAGCATCATGATTTCGTATAATTGTATCAAAAGTAGAGAAAACTTGATTGAGAAAGTCAATAACTTGATCCGGCGGGAATTTACTCAAAACAGTAGAAAAATCAACCAATTGACAGAACAAAACTGTAGCAGAATCATAAGAGCGAGGTTCAACCGATTTATGTTCTTTCAATTGTGCAGCAATACTTGGGGGCAACATTTCGTTTAGTAAACGTTCTGTTTGTTCTCGAGCTTGTGCCAATTCGGCGTTTCGTTGGGCTACCAATTTTTCGAGATTTAAGGCGTGTTTCTCGTTCATTCTTCGCATTTGGTCGATTAAGTTGCCTTGCCTGAATTTAAAAAAATACAATCAGACCTCATTTTAGGATAGTTTTATAAAATTTGGTTGGCCATTGTGTGTAGGGAAATTCAAAAAATATTTCAAAAAGGTCACAAAACGTTCAGATTTCAAAATGTCGAAATTACAAAATGCCCAAGGTGCAAAACGTCAGGATTTAGAAATATGAGAAGCTGTCCAGGCGATACCTCCTAATTAAGATACCTCTACTCATAAGACACCCTCTATTTAAGTTACACCTCGTTATAAGGCACATTATGTGTCTCAGACCTAAAAGGGGGCCTCTAATAATGACTTGCTTTAAGGCACAAGGGGGCTCCTAATAGTGAGTTCCGACTGTAAAATTATTCAAAATAAATTAAAATAGGGTTCTTACGACGCCTGAAACACTGTAGAAACCACTTGAGCTAGTTGCCTCAATCTCGGACGCAAATCCAAATTTTTCTGCCAGCATTGTTCCATTGCATCCACCAACTATTCAAATTTTAATTTAAATTTAAAAAATCCCCTCTTACAGGTTTTTCCTCAGGCAAAGTATTTTCGAGAATAGGCTTTAAATTGTGTTGTCTGACTTGGTCAATAACTTCTTTTGGGCTTAGAGTTGTTCTTTCGTAGGGGGCAAGTCGAAACAAAATGTGGTACATAACCATCCCCATACTGTAAATATCGCCTATTGTTGTTCCGTTTGGGTATTCTCTTCCGTAGGATATATCTATCAGATTCTCTGGTGAAACCGTTAAATAGGCTTAAAATAAAAATTATTAGGTGAATTATCAAGTCAGTTAAATGTCCCCGAGTACCTGAAATTAATTACATGAACGTTCATCTGAATTACGAAATACGAAATTTCGTAGAACTATTCACGATATTTCGAATAGAAATTTCAAAAAATTAAAAATCGCAAAAATTTCAAAGTGTCAAAAGGACAAAAAGCCACAATCAAAAATGCCCAAACTTTAAAAATGTTCGTTTAAAATGTACAATAAATGTCAAAAGCTCAAAATGCCCAAATGTCGAAACGTCAAGATTCCAGAAACGATTCCCTAAACATATTTCGAAACACGAAAATTAAAAATTCCAAACTTACTATTTAACGGAATCAGCTCAATTAATTGTAATTGTTCCCTCCTAATAGCCCTATTTAATAAATTTCCAATTCCAAAATTGGTCAATTTCAACACCCAATTGGAATCGATCAAAACATTTTGTAAATTCAACATTCCATGGTATCCAATAGACGACTTGTGTAAATATTTGACACCTTTGAGTATATCTCGAAGGAAGGCAGAACGAAAAGTGTTGTCTAATTGAAAATCGAGATCTGAAAAAATACAAAGAAAATACAAAAACAAATAAAATCAGAATAAAATAAAAACATTAAAAAATACAAATCAGAAAAACAAAGCAGAAACACAAACAGAATAAAACAAATAAAAAATCAGAAACAAATAATCAGAAAAACAAAAAATACAAACAAAAAGAAAATACAAAAATCAGAAAAACACAGCAGAAACACACAAACAGAATAAAACAAATTAAAATACAAAACAGAATAAAACAAATAAAAAATCAGAAACAAATAATCAGAAAAACAAAAAATACAAACAAAACAGAAAAACACAAAAATCAGAAAAACAAAGAAACACAGAAACACACAAACAGAATAAAACAAATAACGTAAATATAAATCAGAAAAACACAAAAGTTAGAAAATACAAAAATCAGAATAAAAACAAATAAAACACAGAAACAAATAATTCTGAAAAACAAAAAATACAAACAAAAAGAAAACACAAAAATCAGAAAAACATGAAAGAAAACACAAGAACACGAACAACGCAGAAGGAAAATACAAACAAAACACACAAACAAAAACACAAATCTACCGTGTATATAATCTTCAAGAGTTCCCCTCTCCACAAGGGAATGACACACATAAAATCTTTAAAAATTATTATAAAAAATTAAATATAAAATATTTACTTGTCCCCATCATTGTAACAAATTCCCATAAATGTTGTTAAATTATCATGATTTAATTTTTTTAGTTCAAAAATAAAATGGAGTTCAATTTTGTCCCAATAAATCTGTTTTGGGGGAAATAAAATTAAAAAAGAAAACACAAAAAATACAAAAAGAAAACACACCACTACAAGCTACCCTATCTCATAACGGGATTTAAAGATGCATCGCTTATAATGAGATGTATCTTAAATAGAGTCTCTTATAATGAGGGGTATCTTAAATAGAGAGTCTCTTATAATGAGATGTATCTTAATAGAGTCTCTTATAATGAGGTGTATCTTAAATAGAGAGTCTCCTATAATGAGATATCTTAATAGAGAGTCTCTTATAATAAGGGTATCTTAAACAGAAGTCTCTTATAATGAGGGTATCTTAAATAGAGAGTCTCTTATAATGAGGAGTATCTTAAACTAAGGTGCTTATTCTGCAGTCTTACAGTAAACACATTCCCCAACCTTCTTCATTTGCCGTAACACAATAAATTCTGCTTTGTTTGTACCAATCAAGGCATAGGCGTGAAGTTGACGACGTTTGCTCCAAGCACCTTCTTGGCCTATTCCTGTAGCTTTTCCTTTTGCCTGTTTATTTTCAATAACTTTGAATTGTTGTCGACCAATTCTCCAATGCATTCGAAAAACATCGAGGCGTTTTCTTAAAATTAAAAATTTGACCATTATGAAAGTTTGACATTTCGAAAGTTTGACATTATGAAATTTACCATTTTGAATTTTAACATTTTGAAATTTGACATTATAAGTCTTGACACTATGAAATTTGACATTTCGAAATATTTTTCGACACTTTGACATTTTGAAAAATTCCCCAAACTCACTTTCTCTGTATCGTGTAAACAATCCCAGCGGCAGCCGCAACCAAAACAATAGCCGCCCCAGCAGAAATATAAGGTGCCAAACTTGAACACCCACCAGAATAAATACATGAGGGAATAGTACTTGAACGTTGTTTTTGCCATAAAATGTCCTCAGAAATATTTGGAGATGTTTGTAGTTGAATATCAAAACACTCAAAAGTTCCACAGGAAGAGGAGGCAATTGAAATTGCCGTGTAAATTAAGGAATATTGCCCTCCGCTGGAAGGCAAAGTGTAAATTGCTAAATTTTGTAAAGGGGCGGGCCAGGAAGTTAGGTTTACTTGGCCGAAAGAGCCTTTAAATTGAAAATTTCGTTTTGGTAAAAATATAAGGGTAAACACCTTGAAATGATTTTCCACGTAAATTGGCTACAAAAGCTGGATTATTCGGATCGCTAGCGAATGAGCCAGTGCCTGTAAGGGAGGAGCCAAGGCAGAAACCATAACAAGCATTGTAAATAGCTAAGGTAGCTAAAAATGATTCCTGAAAATAAAATTGACATTTTCAAAAGGTTCTTTGACAAAATGATTTTTGACATTTAGTAAAAATGACAATTGGCCATTTTTGATTTTTTTGATTTTTTCCATTTTTGATTTTTTCCATTTTTGCCACATTTGATCGTATTGACACTTGGTCAAAACGACATTTGGCCAAAATGACAGTTGGTCAAAACTACACTTGGGCAGAACGACATTTGATCAAAATGACAGTTGGTCGATAGTATTTTGGCCAATTCGACATTTTGAAATATTTCTGACAAGTTGACACTTTAAAAATTAATTTTTTCAAATTACCGTAGACTGCTGACCAGTCATCATTTTCGGATAAACATTTTGTCTAATCTGTGCCCATTCACTCGAATAAGGGGTAATCAAAGCAAAACCACCCGAAGCTATTGAGTTTCGAAGTGTTTGGTCTTTTATACAATCCTCCAAAGGGTAGGCACAAATTAGAAGAACCATATAAGCATTAGAGCCACCCAAGTCAATTAAACCTATATCGTCTAGAATCGAGTCAAGTAGAGAGAATGAAGTGTCGACGGCGATCACTGGAAATAAATTTCCATTTCCCTTCCGGAAAACACAAAAAATACACAAACTTTTAACCGGAGACCGTAACGCATTATGTGCATTGTCTACACTCTGCCCGTTAGATTCATCCACCTCTACCGTCTGCACTGACAATCCCGAAGCTTTCAGAATTGTAGAAATGCTCGGCCAAAGGGGCGGTTTTTCAATGTCCACGGCTTTTGGGCCAACTAGCATTAACTATAAATTTGGAAATTTCAAAAAAAAATTTTCTCGCCAAAAAATTAACTCGCCAAAAACGGCTCTTACACATTCTGCCAATAAGGCTAAAATCCCACATTTTGCCAATAAGGCTAAAATCCCACGTTTTGCCAATAGGTTTGTGACAAAACGCAGGTTTTTATCTTCACTGGCCAAATGTGTTCTTGGCAAAATGTCACATGCCAAAAAACCTGTGTTTGATTCATTCTCTGCATCAACTTTGCAACAGTCTCCCCTATAGCAACAACACTAAAACCAGTAAAATGTGTCACCACCGGAAACAATTCCCTTCTAAACAATTCCAAATAGCTCCCAACCCTGTTAATTACTGGCAATTTCCAAAAATAGCCCAGCCTCCCAATTTCTTTACTTTCTTCAGCACATCTACTCGAAATTATCGCTTGAATCGAATTTTGAAAGTATAGAGAAGCAGCGTTGGCTGTGCCGAAGGAGGCGCTTTGATTTTGGTTTAGGCTAAGGAAACTAAATGTTGACAGAGTGCCACAACCGGAAGAGACGTTGACAATTCTGTAAATGAGTTTATCGTTCTAAAAATTTGTGTAGGGGTTCCCGGGAAACCCCCGTTCCAAAAATTATCGAATAAAACTGAATGCTCTAAACCGAACATCAAACTATTGGGTACTCTTTAAGTAATCAAATAAATGTATTTTTATATATTAAGCAGATTTGGATTATTTAATAATAAAATTCTCTTTAAAAAAAAGATATCCTCGTTAAATTGAGAAGTGCCCACATTTAATTTTTCCCGAATACTTTAAATCGGCCTAGCCCTTCGAGAAAATAGGAAAAGATGGGATGGGAGAGTTCTCCTAAAGCAAGGTTATTTTTATCGTCCCTCTCATTCAATCTTCTGTACTAGATTGAGGAGAAATAGGGTTTTCGGATTTGGATATGCAGATTTAAAAAAGTTTTGGGATAAGATGGGGACCTTGTGAGTCCTTTGGAAAAACTGTAGACGAAAACAAAAAATATTTACCCCACGCGGATTCGAACCCATGACCCCCTACTAAAGGATAAAAGAAATTGGAGTTGGTCGAATATCCAAAAGATATTTTTTATTTCGCCCATCCCTGATCGGAATTCAAGTAATCGGGGTCTTTCACCGCTCTTCCACTACCTTAAAATTTAAAAATTAATTCAATCCCTCCACTCAACTGTATCTCCTCATTCGAACATTTCCCCGCTACCCTAGCTTCATTCAACGCCGTCTGGCATACATTAACCAAATCCAAATCAGATTCTATTAATCCAAGATTAATTAAATTTGTTAAATTGACCACAAATGAAATAAAAATAAAAAATTGAAAGGAGGAAATTGACATTTTTTCGAATAAAAAAATTTTTTTTGTGTGATTTACCGAGGGGGATTTAACGGCAAATAATTTTAACGGCAAATAATTTTTTAAAAATAAAATTGTCCCCCATCCAACTAATTACCTCTTTTCAAACGTAAAAATCTTCTTTATCCTCCCTATTATTATAATGGACACATAATTATTAAATACATTATTACACGTTGCCCTGGGGAATTTTGTTGTTGTGTATAGGGAGAGATTAAGGGGAAAAAAGTTTCCGGTTTTTTGTTAAAAATTATTTTTTTGAATTAAAAAAGGAAAACAATCAAACAATAAAGATAGATAAAGACAGAAAAAACAATACGCTCGGATCAGGGACCCAACGTTTTTAGGATCATGACTTTTAAATTCTCAAAAAACGGAATTCCACGGGTTTAATATCGAGACAACTCTGGATATTCGAAGATCACTAGATATCCGAACGCCGCCTACTGCACATTTTTTGTCTCTTAAAGGATTTTTTGGCAAAGGCTGTTAACGTCGGGATTATCTTGTAGAAAATTGGTATTAGTTTAAATATTAAAACAAAAAATTATTCCAAGACAGAGCTATGTACTGATAAAACTAAAGCATTCTCTCCTACACCACCTTTTTAAATCTCTTACCTATACCAAAACCTTCCCAGATATCTCAATCCCTTGTTGATCCATCTAGAAGTGATCCCAAGGGTTGGGATACTAAAGATCAGCCCAAGCGTTATCTTGAACAAAATCTAGGCTGTCAAGCTTTCTAAATAACAATCTCGATTCTCGTCGATTCTCCCAGTCCTATCCCTTATCAAAACTTTAACAATTCCGTTTCCTGATTTATAATCCATTTAATTATCTTAATCTTATTTTTAATTCTATTTCCCTCTATTCTCAATTTAGAAAATCTTTATTGTCATTTTCTGTTGCCTAGGAGAGGTTTCCCCTTCCAACCTATTCCTTTTTTATTTTTTTATTATTAATTGTCACTTTCTTAACTTTAAATAAAAAATAAAGTTTTCCCATTATTCCCACTCCTTGTTGACAATTAGTTAATTTTTAATTCTCTATATCCCACAAAAATTTAAAAATTTTCCCACTTAACCAAAAAATGTTTATCGTCATATTCCTCATTTTACTCTCAACTCTCCCCTCAACAATATTTGCCCTAAATTGTTATCAGGGACAAACTGCTTTAAATGCCCAGCTGTCAGGGAGTTCTGCAGCTTGTTCTATGAGCCCTACCGTTGCATGCACAAAATCCGTTGATTATGTTAATCAAATTGTAATGAGGGGATGTCAGACAAGCAACTGCACGGTAAGGTTCTCTATATAAATGGGACAGAGGCTCTGACCCTGTCAATCTCTCCATGTTACCCCAACCCTTGGGATCACTTTTAGATGGATTAACAAGGGATTGGGATATCCGGGAAGGTTGTGGTATAGGTAAGAGATAGAAAAAGTTGGGGGTAGGGGGGGGAGAGAGTGAGAGCGAGAGAGAGAATGCCCTAAAGAGAATGCCCTAGAGAGGGAGGAGAATGCCCTAGCCTTCTTTCCATCTTACACTAGCCTTGTAATCATTCCTAGGCAGATTAACAACAAATATCTCAGAATGTTCAGAGGGAGAAAACGGTAAATCTCCAGTTGACTCCCTACATGTCCGCAAAGAGAATGCACACATGTAGGGAGTCAACTGGACATTTACCGGAGAAAGCAGATATCTCAGGGGGAGAAAAAGACTACTCTCAAACTTATCCCAGTCCTTTGGATCATTTTTAGGTTCAAGAGATAACGATATAGGAGAAAGCTTGGAATAATTAAAAGTATTACCTAAAAATTTATTTTCTAGTTCTTAAACGGAACGGTTAACTCAGCAGGAGGGTGTTACAATTCAACTACAAATACCCAAAGCTATTGTTGCTGTTATGCTGATAGTTGCAACTGGGCAATAAGAGGAGAAGGAGAATTAAATAAAATTTTGATTAGTGGAATTTTGGCAGTTTTTGCTTTGCTTTTTTAATTTAAAAATAAAATATTTTTCAATTTAATTCATTTAATTAATCATTTTTATTGAATATATCAAAAATAGACCAAAACAAAAAATATTTTCCCCGAGCGGGGTCGAACCCACGACCTCCATGATACTCTTCTAAAGCTAATTATGAGGTGACATGAAAAACGTTGAAAAATCAGGCCGGATTCTGTCGAGTTCCAGTGCCAGTCCGGGATTCCCATGGAAATCTGAACTCTATTTTTGGTTTAAAAAAGAATGAATTCAAAATATTCAAAAAAATTCAGCCGACAAAATGCCCAAATGTCAAAAAACGACAAAATGCCTAAACTAGCAAAAAAGACTCAAAACGTCCACAAAACCAAAAATTAATTTAAAATAACTTAAAAAATATAGAAAAATAAGCCAACCCATGAAAATAGACAAAAAACAAAAAATATTTTCCCCGAGCGGGGTCGAACCCACGACCCTAAATTTTGATCTACTTCAAGTCATAAATTTATTAAAAATTATTTAAAAATTAAAAACCTTTATATTTTAAATATATTTCAACAATTTTACACAAACCCAGAATTGCCCACACAAAATTTATTTCTTCGCTAATCGCCACATCATTTAAGCAACGACCATTTAAATTGATCCTTTGCAGACCCCAAAAGAGACATTCCAACTTGGGAGATTGTTTGCTCTCCAAAACCAATTTCGTCAGGTTTAAAAGCACAACGGGCAACTACAGCTTGAGCATCCGTCTCTAGAATTACTCTGAAAATTTTTTTATTTTTAATTAATTGAAATTTTTAGGAGAGAAAAATGCCCCAATACAAGAGGGAAATCCGCGTAAAATTCATTCGACTTTTTAAACCCAAAAAACTTAAATTTCAGCTTAAAACACTCTCAAAATGAATAAAATAGGAAGAAATAAGCATAAAAATGAAAATAAACAAAAATAAAAAATATTTACACTCGAGCGGGGTCGAACCCGTGACACCCTAAGCCCGTATTTCAAAATTCTCAAGAATGCCCAAAAATATAAAGTTGAACTTTAACACACTCAAAATAAATAAAATAATGAAGAATACAGGAAAATAAATAAAACTATATAAAATAAAAAAAAAGTTCCATGAGCGGGGTCGAACCCACGACCCCCAAGATATGGGAGAAAAATTAAATTTTTTAAAATTATAAAAAACCGAAAGCCGAAAAGGTGGAAAATTAATATAAACAAACGAAAAAGGAATCAGAAAATATAAATGTAAACCCCCTCAAGCCAAAATCCCCTTTAAAATAAATTAAAAAAACAAACAAACCCGTCATCACAAATTTCATCCAAGACAAGAAAAGCCAAGTCGATATGATCAAAAAGCACCTTCTTCTCAACATTCTTGCGTAAAACAATAGAGAAAGCCTCGTAGAAACAATTTAAAACGCTTTGCAAAATTAATTCATTTTCATTACAACTTCCAATAACATAAAAAAATAAATCGACGTTTGAACGATAAACACAAATAAAGCCGTCAAAAAGAATTATTTCTGCTAAAAAAGGAAAGAATTGAATATAAAAAATAAATAAAACCCTTAAAATTAATAAAATTGGGGAAAATAAGCATAGAAATGAAAATGAACGAAAATAAAAAATATCGACTCCCGAGCGGGGTCGAACCCACGACCCCCCAAAATACCCTCTAAATCGATTTCTACAAGTTTCCTAAAATTTCTTCCTAAAATTCCTTTCCCAAAAAATAATATTTAAATAAAAATACAAACCGTTAGCCTTGTGTGTTTTTTGAAAAAGATTTTTTTCAAATGCAGATTGCTCCTTTTCTGTGGCAAGTATTTGTTTGTCATAATATTTGCCCAAAATACGTTTTCCATCTTGATCCAAAATTAATATAGCTTTAATGCTGTAAAGTGAATCAGCATCTAAATTGGCCATTTTTTGCTAAAAATAGAATAAATCCTGAAAGAAAAATAAAATTAAGACGAGAAAATTCGGTTGGGGTCAGTTGAGCGTGGCCGGTTGAGCGTGAGCCGACCTTTGAACGGCTATAACTTTTTGCTGCTTGATCCAATACAAATGAATCATATATCATTCGAAAGCCCTCGATAAACGCTATCTTTTTTCCAATTTGATGGATCAAGTCTGATCGCTATTTAAAAAGTTACAAGTCGATAAGTGTGAAAAACAACGATTTTCTGCACTTATCGACTTATAACCTTTTAACCGAGATAAGACTTGATCCATCCAGTTGGGATAAAGATTGGACTTATCGAGGGCTTTCGAATGATATAAAATTTATTCGGATTTGATCAAGCTTAAAAAAGTTATAGTCGATCAAATTCGACTGACGCTTAACCGGCCACGCTCAACTGGCCCGTTCCGAGAAAATTAAGCAAAAAGTTTAGGGCACGACATTTGGACAACAAGACATTTGCGACGAACTTCGGTGTAAGCCCTACAATTAGAATACATTTTAGAGGGAGAAGTAGGAGAAGTATTTTAGAGGGAGAAGTATTTTAAATTTTAATTATTAATTTTACATAGGCTCACAAATGTCGTTTGTTTGCAAATGTCGCGCACCTTGTTGGAGCTAGAAGTAGGAAATGAAAAACAATCCCACACAAAATATGAAAATTCGCAAAACAGAACCCTAAGGAATAAAAAAAAGAGAAAAATATTCAGACGTGGCAAAAAACTTGACAAAACGCGTGTCCGGTTAACTCATCTACTCGTTAACTCATCTACACGGCCAAAAACGTTCAACTCATCTAAACGGCTAAAATTCCTTAACTCATCTACACGGCCAAAAAGGGTAAACTCATCTAATCGTTAACTCATCTACTCGTTAACTCATCTACACGGCCAAAAAGGGTCAACTCATCCAATCCTTCGAAACGAGACTATTGAGTACCGGCCGTTTGAGTCTTTGGCCGTCTGAGTCTCCGGCCGTTTGAGTCTCTGGCCGTCTGAGTCTCTGGCCGTCTGAGTCTCTGGCCGTTTGAGTCTCCGGCCGTTTGAGTCTCTGGCCGTCTGAGTCTCTGGTAAGTTGAGTCCATGACCAGTTGAGTCCATGGCCAGTTGAGTCCATGACCAGTTGATTCCATGGCCAGTTGATTCCATGGCCAGTTGAGTCCATGACCAGTTGAGTCTCAACCGGCGGTACTCTACTGGCCATGGACTCAAACGGCCGGTACTCAATAGTCTCGTTCCGAAGGATTGGATGAGTTAACCCTTTTTGGCCGTGTAGATGAGTTAACGATTAGATGAGTTAACCCTTTTTGGCCGTGTAGATGAGTTAACGAGTAGATGAGTTAACGATTAGATGAGTTAACCCTTTTTGGCCGTGTAGATGAGTTAACGAGTAGATGAGTTAACGATTAGATGAGTTGTATAGGAGCCGACAAAACGACATTAAAAATAAAAATGACAAAAGATCCCAAACTTATTTTCTCTTCTGTCTCTCTCAATTTTCCACACTCTCTCGTACTAAAATTAAAAAAATTAAATTTCTTAAAATTTTTTTTTCTTCAAGGATTTCAGGAAGAATGCAACAACTTTATCAAGATGTATTAAAAGCTATTCTAATTTTGGATCAAGACGGAAAACGTATTTTGGGCAAATATTATGACAAACAAATACTTGCCACAGAAAAGGAGCAATCTGCTTTTGAAAAAAATCTTTTTCAAAAAACACACAAGGCTAACGGTTTGTATTTTTTATTTAAATATTATTTTTTGGAAAGTGAATTTTAGGAAGAAATTTTAGGAAACTTGTAGAAATAGATTTAGAGGGTATTTTGGGGGGTCGTGGGTTCGACCCCGCTCGAGGATCAATATTTTTTATTTTTGTCTATTTTCCATTTCTAAGCTTATTTTCCCCTATTTTCTCAATTTTAAGGGTGTTATATATTTTTTATATTTAATTTTTCTTCATTTTTAGCAGAAATAATTCTTTTTGACGGCTTTATTTGTGTTTATCGTTCAAACGTCGATTTATTTTTTTATGTTATTGGAAGTTGTAATGAAAATGAATTAATTTTGCAAAGCGTTTTGAATTGTTTCTACGAGGATTTTTATAAGAATGCTAGCAATATGGACGAATCTAAAAGGTTTTTTTAATTTTACCCTTCAATTTATTCTACGGGGGGGGGTCGCAGGTTCGATGCCGCTCGAGTGTCAATATTTTTTATTTTCGTTTATTTTCATTTCTATGCTTATTTTCCCCTATTTTATTAATTTTTATAGTGTTATATATTTTTTGTGACCCCCTGGCCGTAGAATGCCTGTCCGGGTTCAAACTTTTATTTCCCTTCTATTTGTATTCTATCCCCATTCCTAGGCTTTCCACATTCTATAAACTTCTCAAAAAATTTTTTTTAAAGTGTACAACAACAAAAACAAAGGAAGCAGACCAAAAACAAAATTGAAAGACGAATTTCGAAGGGGCGAAGAATTCGTTATGTGGAGATTGAAAAATTGGTCAATTTTTTCCCTGCTGTGCCTGAACGGATTCCTTGGTCACACGAACGGAGGGACGAGTTATTCAAGTCTTTATTTGTTTAAATCTTTTTAAATAAGGCAAACCTCGTTTTTAGATACTCCCAATACTAGGTACATCAAACCCCTTATAAGATACGTTAATACCCTCACTTTAAGATACCCCCAATACAAGAGACACCTCATTTGGCTGATCATCTGTTATCTCGATACTCTCTATTTAAGGTATACCTCGTTATAAGGAAACATCCCAATTATAAGCCACAATTTCCAACCCTCAAGGCTAAGGCGTAGCCAGGGGTCGGATTTCGAGAGGGTGGGGCTATAAAGGGTGTCACCCATTTTGACGTTTACTATACACTAAGGGAGTATCTTAAAACGAGGTTAGAATAGATTTTGACATTTTGGGAATTTTTTTGGGGGAGGCTGGGAAGGGAAAAACAAATTTCCCCTCTCTAATTGTCCTACCAAAAAATATTTTTTGTTTTATTGTTTTAATTAAATTTTATTAAATATTTAAATTCATTTTCGGTCACAAAATTAAAGAAAATTTTATTTTAAATTCAAAAATTAAGCCAGCAATCCAATCGGTTCATCCTCAATTCCACAAGAATTTACCCCTCTAATAAAATTAACATAGCCGTTTTCCTGCCCCCAATCATCCCCCCAACTATTTTTTACTATCCAATATTTTTGTCCGTTGTCAGTAATTCCGTAGCCGACAACCAAAAGTGAGTGAAGTCCAACCACCTTGTGAGGTTAAAAAATTTTAATTTTTGGAGGTTAAAATTTAAAAAAACCCTGTATTTGCAGTCAAAATCTGAAGGAGCATAAATTCCGCTTCTGTAAGGCTTCATGTCTGGAGGCACGGAAATGGCTTTAAAAAATTTTTTTGAAATTTTTTCGTTAGTTGACATTTTGAAATTTAAAAAAAAATTAAAAAAAATTTTAAAAAAAATTTTTAAAAATTTTTTAGTTGACATTTCGACATTTTTCACGTTTTTTGACATTTTCTGACATTTTGGCATTTTTCGACATTTCGAAATTTTTTCAAAAATTCACAAAAAAATTTTCTTCCACCCACCAACATTAACTGGTCCAAAATTTAAAAGCCAATCAATTATAGAATCCTCATCCGGATTGATAAACACGGCAGATTCTATTTTTGTTAAATTTTTGCTGTGTTCATTCATCAGACAGGCAGGCTGTCGGTGTGCTACATAAGGGTATTCGCCTTCTGAGACTAGTCCCGTATCGTGTATAAAACTAGGGGAAATTATGGGGGCATTATTAGGGTTTCACCGGAAGTTCCGGTTCCGGTTCCGGAAAGTTCCGGCCTTTTTTTGGTTCCGGTTCCGGTTCCGGGAACCGGAACTTAAATTGGTTCCGGTTCCGGCTCCGGTTTTCAAATCGGTTCCGGGCAAACCGGAACTTTTTTACACCCCTAAAGATTGATTTTTTTAAAAATATGGGTTGGTCTTCCCCGGCTGGCGTTACAATATTCTCAAAATTTTCGCCTGCGGCGCAAGAAAAGGAAGAAATTTAGCCCTTGTTCTCACAAATTCTCAAAATTTTCGCCTGCGGCGCTGTTAAATGAAGTTTATATCGGAGGATCTGGATGGATGAAGGTGTATTTTAAGTTACAGCATGTGCTTTCAAGGGGTCATAGGTAATACCGAAGGATCTGGGTGAAATATTGAGAAATTAAGCTGTGCAAGGTAAATAACAGGGATAGGCCTTCCGAAATTGGCCTTCCGAAATTGGCCTTCCGAAATGGCCTTCAACTTGGCCTTTCCGAAATGGCCTAAAACTTGGCCTTCCGAAATTCACAAAATTTTCGCCTGCGGCGCTAAAAGGAAGTAAGAATAGGTTATTTTTGATAATTTGCATGGATTAATAGAGATTTGGAAGATACTGGGTGGTTCGTGTACCAAGAGTTAAAATGGTATATCGGTGATTTGATATCTAGGGATCTGTTGGGATGAATGATAATTTGAAGAAATATGGGGATCAAAGGGGAATCACATAATTGGTGTGGTATCGGGCATATCATGGGATTTGGGTAGAACGGTTCGGTTTTACGGTTCGATTTTGGTTAACCGAAAGTTTCGATTCGGTTATTCGTTTCGGTTAACAAAATAATTGAGCTAAACCGACAAACCTACTTTGAATTCAAATTTCTTTAATTTTTTTTAAAATTTTTTAAATTTGCTAGAAATTTTTTTAAAGTTCCGGTTCCGGTTCCGGGCCGGAACTTTGAAAAGTTCCGGTTCCGGTTCCGGGAACCGGAACTCAAATTGGATCCGGTTCCGGTTCCGGTCATAATTTCGGTTCCGGTGAAACCCTAGGCATTATTAGTTGACATTTTGAAATTTTTTTATTTTTTGACATTTTGAAAAATTTTTTTATTTTTTGACATTTTGAAATTTTTTTCGAAAGATGACATTTTGAAATTTTTTCCGTTAGTTGACATTTTGAAATTTTTTCCGTTAGTTGACATTTTGAAATTTTTTTCGTCAGTTGACATTTTGAAATTTTTTTGATTTTTTGACATTTCGAAAAATTTTCCCCGTTAGTTGACATTTTGAAATTTTTTACCTAAATGCCCTTTCCACATTCCCCCCATTACAAGCAAAATTCTCCAAATTACAGTCCAATAGTTCCTGCTCTGATAAACTTCTCAAAACTCCATGTGCCACAGCATAAGCAGATTCCGTTGTAGCAACAGAAGCAAATGCCCAACAGGAGCCACATTTACCTAAGAAAATTTTTTTTTAAATTTTTCCCTTTTAATTTTCACCTTGTGCTTTAACAGGCGTAACTACTCCTTTTTGACGCCAGTCAAAATGACTTGTATGTTCTGTTTTAATATTGTTCCGTTCAATTGGGGTCATCTTCCGTATAAAACTGCCTTCTCGATGTAGTTGCTTATTTGCATCTAGTGGAAGCAGCATCTTAAAAAATGATGTTAGGCTTCTGAAGCAACTTTCTGAAGCAATGCTTCATTTATGAAGCAGAAGCAAAAATGCTTCACCTTACTATTTTGCTTCAAAAATTAATTTTGAAACATTTCTTTGCTTCATTTATCCAAATATGAAGCAATGCTTCATAAATTCTTGAAGCATGCTTCTAAAATTTTTTTTGAAACATTTTTGCTTCATTTAGCCAACTATGAAGCACTGCTTCATAAAATATTTTTTTAAGCTTAAAATCGTTTCTGAAGCCCTTTGCTTCATAAAACTAAAATCCAAAGAATCTTGCTTCTTCAGAAGCAGTTTGCTTCTTAATACCCATTTTGCTTCACTTACCTTTTTAAATTCTTGGTCCGTCATATCCGTCATCGAATTAATTCCATAGGTCACATTCTTTCCCCTTTCAACAGCTTCTTCATTTAATTCCTCAATTTTACGGCAATTTTCTTCAAATACCTTCAAGCGCTCTAAGCGTTCTCGATCATTCTTCCAGACACGATTATACTCCTTTTCAAATTTATAGAAATATCCTCCATTGCCAGAATATATTTTGAATAATGCATTATTGAAAACACCAGAGAATATTATAAAACTAAAATATTTGAAATAAAAAATTGGAAGCAACGGAAATTGTGAAACATAAAGTTGAAGCAGTTTTTGCTTCAAAAAATTTTTTTTGCTTCATAAAAATGATTCTTGGATACTTATCTTGCTTCATCAAAATGTTTCTGAAGCATGTTTCAGAAAAACATTTGCTTCATGTTTTCGAAGCATTTTGCTTCAGAAACTATTCAGAAGCATTTTGCTTCTGAAAAATGATTTTTGAAAATTTTGCTTCCTGAAACATTTCTGCTTCAGGAAAATTTTCTGAAGCATTTCTGCTTCATAACACAAAGTTGAAGCATTACTATAACATGTGAAAATATATATTTTTTTAACCTCCAAGTGAGCTGTGCAATCACCGCTATTACAATAGCTAAGAGAACAATGCGTACAATTGTCCAAATAATACGAAGCAAAGATCGCTTTTTAGGCTTCTTTTTGGCTACTAAATTTTCTGATGACAATGAAAGTTGATTTGAATACAAAGCCATTTTAGAACAAATTGGAGTTGTTTAAGCAATATTTGAGGGGGAATGATTGAGGGAACCCAGGGAAATACTCTTTAATTGATAATAATTTTATTGATAAAAATACCCAACTGATAAGCAATGTAGTTTATTTTAAAAATACGATGTTATTTGTATTATTGTTTTTAGGGGTTGATTAAAAAATAAATATATTTATTATTTATTTAGATGTCAATAAACAGTAAAAATTAATTTAAAAATTATTTAAAAAATATTTAGAAAGGGAGAAAATTTTTGAAACAAAAAGGTGAAGCAATTTGCTTCAGAAAACAAATGGTATATCGTTTTTGCTTCAGAAAAAATGATTTTTGTATATCATGGTTTCACTAAAACGTATCTGAAGCATTTTGCTTCAAAAGAGCATTTACTTAATGTTTCTGAAACATTTCTGCTTCAGAAACAACATTTTGCTTCTAGAATGTTTCTGAAACATCTTTGCTTCAGAAAAATAGTTCTTGGGTATCTTGCTTCATTAAAATTTTTCTGAAGCATTTTGCTTCATTAAAATGTTTCTGAAACATTTCTGCTTCAGAAAAATGTTTCTGAAACATTTCTGCTTCAGCAAAATGATTCTGAAACATCTCTGCTTCATCAAAATTTTTCTGAAGCATTCTGCTTCACTAAAATTCTTCTGAAACATTTTGCTTCATTAAAATGTTTCTGAAGCACTTTTCTGCTTCAAAATGTCTCTTAAAAACTTCTTAAACTTGAGAACCACTACTTTTATCTAAATCTTGATATTCTTCATCTTCTTGTTCATCTTCATTATTTTCTAAATTTCCTCCATTTTCCTTCAATTTTTTTGTATTATTCACCAATCCATTTTGTTTGGGTAATGTTGTCTTGGGGGCAATTAGTGAATGTTCTGGAATCGGTGGAAATTGGTTTTGGCTGAGCAATAAAGACTTGATAATTCCAATTTCTGAGATTAAACGGTTTGAATCTGTTGAAGAAACTGAAAAATTTATAAAAATAAAATTGAAAAAAATTTAAAAAAAAATTAGAAAAAAATTTTTTTGAAGCAAATTTGCTTCTTTTTCTCTCCAAAGTTGTGAACTAGACGACTTTAAAAATTCATAACTTTAATAAAAATTGACCTAGAAAGTTTATTTTTGGCCAATTTATAGCTTAAAGCTTCCTTTATCTATCCCCAAAAAATCTAATTAAAATCTTTATTTAAAGAAAAGTCATGGTGCAAAATCTACGCATAGACGTTCAGTCCAGAATTGCGACTATGACAACTTTAAAAATTCATAACTTTAATAAAAATTGACCTAGAAAGTTTATTTTTGGCCAATTTATAGCTTAAAGCTTCCTTTATCTATCCCCAAAAAATCTAATTAAAATCTTTATTTAAAGAAAAGTCATGGTGCAAAATCTACGCATAGACGTTCAGTCCAGAATTGCGACTATGACAACTTTAAAAATTTATAACTTTAAAAAAAATTGAGCTAGAAAGTTGATTTTTGGCCAATTTATAGCTTAAAGCTTCCTTTATCTATCCCCAAAAAATCTAATTAAAATCTTTATTTAAAGAAAAGTCATGGTGCAAAATCTACGCATAGACGTTCAGTCCAGAATTGCGACTATGACAACTTTAAAAATTTATAACTTTAAAAAAAATTGAGCTAAAAATTTTATTTTTGGCCAATTTATAGATCAATGTCAACTCTATCTATCATCAAAAAATCTAATTAAAATCTTAATTTAAAAAAAAGTTATGGGCCAAAATCTACGCGTAGACGTCCAGTCCAAAATTGCGAGTAATTCACTTAAAAATTCCCAACCTTTTAAACTTGGAATTAAATAAACCTTTTTTCTAATTTAAAAATCAGAATCTTTTCTTTACTAAAAACTTGAAACTTTTAAAAATTTTTTCTACCTTTATTTTCATTATTATTTCTCGTTTGGCTTTGAATAATCAACAAAGTTCTGTTTATTTGTTCGTTTTGTTCACAAATTGTTCCAATTGTTTGTCTCACACTTTCTACAATAGCTTTATTTGTTTCTGTAATAGATTCAATTTGTTGTTCAACTCTTTGTAATCTTTCATCTTCAGGGTTGGGAATGCCCAACAATTTGGGAAGCACCCAGGAACGAACAAAACGATAAAAAATAAAACTTGTTGAGCCAATTATTATTATGGCCTTTGCCCATTCTAAAATCTGAAATAAAATCAGAATTAAAAAAGGTTGTAATTCTGATTTGTATTTTTGTAAAAACATGTTTAGAATTGTAAAACATTCTGAATTTTATAAAAACAGAGAAACTTTTAATCAGAATTTAGAATCAGAATTTACCTAAGTTAAAAAATTAAAATATCAGAATTAAAAATCAGAATTTAAGTCAGAATTAAAGAATCAGAATTTAAAATTAGAATTTAAGAACAATTAAAAAGCAGAATTATTAAATCAGAATTTAAGTCGGAATTAGAAAATCTGAACTAGAAAATCAGAATTTAAACCAGAATCAGAATTAAAAATCAGAATTAAGAATTAAAAAATCAGAATTTAAAAAAGTTTTAATTCTGATCTGTATTTTACAGAAATTACAAACTTAATTACAATTTCAAGTTTAAAGTTTTATTTGCATACAAATTACAACTTATCAGAATAACAACTTATCAGAATAACAACTTATCAGAATAACAACTTTTTACAATTGTAAATTTATATTTTTTTTAATTGCAATTAAAGTTGTAATAATTCTGATTTTATTTTCCAATTGTAAAACATTAAAATTCTTTAAAATAAAAATAAAACTCACTGCGCTATTGTTTTTGACAAGTGTTGGAGGTGGTTGTCCATAAAGTGGAATTATTTGCTGAAATTTTGGAGAATAATTTTAAATTTTGTTTAATTAATGTTTTATTTATTAAGTGATTTTTTATTTTACAATTTTTAAAAATTATATTTTCCACAAAAATCCCCTTACCTGTTTTCCACTTCGCCCTTTCATCGCTTCATTAATTTCAACCTCCGTTAATCCCTTTTTAATTAAAAAAGTTTTTTGTTCCTCAATCGGAGTATTTCTCACACGAGGATTATTAATAAATTGTTTGGCTGCATTAACTAAATCCTCGCGTATTTTTGGTTGATTATTTGAGGTCCCAGCATTGTTTACTTCTTTTAATGTTGTTGACTTGTTGTTCATTTTATTTTAAAGTTTATTTTTTTTAAATAAAACTTGATTGTAAAAACAAGTTGTAAAAATAAGTTGTAAAAACAAGTTGAAAAAATAAGTTGTAAAACAAGTTGGAAAACAGGTTTTAAAACAAGTTGTAAAACAAGCTGTAAAAAAAGTTGTAAAAACAGGTGGAAAAACAAGTTGTTAAAACAAGTTGAAAAACAAGTTTTAAAAAATATTAGTGAAGCTGTAGAGAAAATTTAAAGGCAGGATTTTTAGATTTTAATCTATAACTTTTGATTAAGTAAGGATACAGATTTAATTTTTATATTAGCTGATAGAGGAGATTCTTGGCTATAAAATATCAAAAAATCAGATTTTTTATACCTACTACTCAAAAAGTTATGGAATTTTAAACAAGTCAGGTCAGAAACATTAATGAGCATTTTTGTGATTTTTGTTCCATAACTTTTTAAAAAATAAAGGTATAGATCTAATCTTTATCTTAAAAGATAGAGTAGATTTTTAGCTACAAAATGGTGAAAAAATTAATCGATTAACTTAAACCCCCAAAAAGTTGTTGAATTTTAAATAAACGTGGTCTAGCGCAACACGCTACCCACAAAAAATTAAATTTTCTGATTATTTTACTAAAAAATTAAATTATTTAATGGAACTGACTAAAAAACTATTTCTAATTTTATTTTCATACATATTCTCAAAGAATCAATAAAAACGCTATTATTCATGGTTGCTGCACGGCTGGTTGCGTGGAAGGAGTGAATGGCGCCTCCAGTCAAAAATCATTAGTATAGTCATGGGACCATTTTTTTTATCTTTTATTAAAAAAATTGGTTTCTTATCTTTGATTAGAAAATAGAAAAAAAATCAAAAAATTAAAAAAAAAATATTTGGAAAAATAATTTTGCAAAAATCCTGGTGTTGGGCTAAAGATCGCCTGGAATGTTTAGTGCAACTGCATGGCACAGAAAATGCTTCCAAACACTCAAAAACACAAATAAAATCCCTCGAATAAATTTCCATATTTATCTCCATATTTATGGAAAAACAAAAATTAAAACAAAAATAGAGGGAATTCACATGAAGATTACCCTTAAACATTAAAGAAGGCCGAAACTTTTATGTTTTGAACTTTTTATTATTTTTGTTTTCTGAAATTGTTTTTGTTTAAACAGACATTTAAATCCTCAACCTTTTGCATATCAAGTTTGCCCTTTAAAATGAAGCCTAAATCCAAAACTCAAACCAGAACAAAATTAAAACACCACAATGAATTATTTTATTAGTTTTTTGATGTTTTGTTTATTAATTAGTTGTTTTACTTGCAAAATTGAAGGTTTGTTTTATTTCCAAACATGCTTAAAAGGGAAAGAAAAACTTGTTTTAAACAAAACATGTTTTTAAAGTAACAAACAAAACAAGTTTGTTTTAAATTAAAAACAAAACAAGTTTGTTTAAATGACAAACAAAACAAGTTTGTTTAAAAGACAAACAAACAAGTTGTTGACAAACAAAACAAGTTTGTTTTAAATTAAAAACAAAACAGGTACCATTCAAACAAACGAACAAAACCTCATTCCAATACAACAACCAAACAAACATTTGCAAAACACAACAAACACTCCAACAAAAACATCAACAAATGCAGCTCCATATAAACAACATCAAAACCCAAAGGAACAACAACCAAACAAACATCTGCCAAACACAACAAACACACCAACAACCTTACAACATAATATACTTGTTGTTTTACCATTAGAAAAACTTCCTAAATTTTGTTCATTTTATAAACTAAAACAAGTTTTTAGTTGTTGTTATGCCCTGTATCGAGGGAATTTTCGCTATCCGCGTAAACTTGTTCGTGAGAAGAATGGAAGTTTCTTAAAATGTTTCAATTAATTTTTAAACTGAATTTTGTAGAGCTGAGTCCCTCCAACAATTTACCTGATGAATGCCTTAATTGTGGACGTACTTGCCAACATGCCATTGATTATATAACGACCAGTAAGCCGTTGCCAGCTGAGAAACAAAGGGGCACTCAACCACCCCCAACTCATCCACCCCAAGCAATGCCAAGAATGAAGCAGGGAACTGAAATAAGGGCGAAAAGAAATGTTTTGAAGGGCCTTGAAGGGAAAAATAAAAAGACTGTCACTACGCATTCACCTCATAAGATGCTGAAATTGAAGCGGAATGTTAATGAAACAACCGAAGCAACGACGGAAACACTAATTTATGTTCCTCTTAATCCTGAAATTGTTAATTAAAATTAAGAGGAGGAATTTAACAAATTGAAATCTGCGATTTTAAGGGATTTTAAAATTTTTTGGGATGTTTAATTAAATTTATTTGGGAATAAATATTTAAAAATAAATAAATTATTAATTATAAATTCAAAGTGATTGCTGGATCTCTCCATTATGATGATACAATAATTACCTCAGGCTGAAGGACATAGGAAGGAGAATGGGGGGGGGGGCAAGAAGGGACATGGGACATATAGAGGGGTGAGGAGGGGACGTAGGAGCCGACGTAAGAAGAAATGTAGAAGGAAATAAAGGGACGTAAATCAGGCAGAACCAGGACCGTAAGTAGAGAAATGAGGCATAGTGGAGGGGGGACGTAAAAAAGAAAATAGGGCCATACAACCAGGACCATACAACCTGTATTAATTTCTCGTCCTCAAATCAGCCCTCAAATTCTATTGAGTATCCCCTCCAGCGATAGATTGAACCAATAATTACCCTTGGTAGTTATTCAAGGGATACGGTATATCAAATTATTTTTAGAGAAGGTAGGTGCTAGTTGTTGTGATTTTAGAGAGAGATTCAACGAGAGTTTCACCATGAAAAAATTTAATAATTATTTAATAATTCATTACAAAAACCAAAAATAAAATTAAGCTGGGATATACATTGTTGGCAAAAATAAAAAATAATAAAATTAAATTTCCACCGCTTAAAATTGCCAAAAATAAATTTTTTTAAAAAATAATCTATTAAATAAAAATATAAAAAAATATAAAAAAATATAAAAAAATCCAAAAAAATTTTTTTTTCTTGCCAAAATTTTGCCATTGACGCATGAAAATTAGAAAAATTTACACGTGAATATCTTGCCGATTAATTATTTGTTTCAAACTATACCCCTTTTCGAGCCATTTTTGGAAAATTTTGGGGGATACCAAATTATATTAAATTAAATATTAAATGAGAGAGAGAAAGAAAATTTTATAAAAATTATTAAAAATTATTTAAACAGCTTTTAAATAAATTTTAGAAAAATTTTTTTAGAAAATAAAAAAATTTTTTTTTGCTTGGAGAAATTTTGGCTTTAAAAAGCATAGCAACAAACAGGAGAACAACAGCAATCTCCCACTCATTAAATATATTCCCCTCAATATCCTCCGAATTAATTTATAATTTAATTAAATGAAATTTTTATTAGCGGTGTTTATCGGCTTTGTGGCGTTTGAATTTTCATTGGCTGAAGGTTAGAAATTAATAAAATGTTTATCAGAATTTGTAAAAATGTTTTACAAATTGTAAAAATATGAGAGAGAATTCTGAAAATAATTCTGAAAAAATAATTCTGAAAAAATATTCTGATAAAATTCTGAAAAATAATTCTGAAAAAATATTCTGATAAAATTCTGAAAAAAAATTCTGATTTGAGTAAATTATGCAAAATTCTGAAAGCATTTTACAAATTGTAAATATCAGAACTTATACATACTATGTATTTTACAAATTAAAAACACAAAACAGAATTTATAGAAAATTTTAAAATTTGTAAAACTTTTCAGAATTATTAATTTACAAATTCTGAAATAAATTTGAAAACAGAATTTCTTAGTTTAACAAAAATATTAACTTAATCTAACAGTAATATTTCCCTAACTTAAGACGTTTCAACTAGCGGATATGGCGAAGTACCAATAGATGACTTATTGCCAGTTCTTCCTCCTTTCTGTAGTGACCCAAATCTTAACAAGAATCAAAAAGTAGTAAACTGTTGCAATGCAATTGTAAGAGAATCGAAGATTGTAGTTTACAACAGCACTGTAGGCCCAGTACCTGATGAATGTAGCCTGAGGAAATGTGGACGTGTCTGCAATCGGTATTTCAACCAAAGACCACAATCTACTACGACAGAGGAGCCAGGGTGTGAATGTCAGAAAGAACAAACAACTAAAAAACCAAAACACTCATGCCAATCTGGACCTGAACCTTCTACACCGCCTCCACGAAACCCATACCAATCTGGACCAGAACCCTCTACACAGCAGCCAGGAGGACAAGTAGCATCGCATAAGCCTCCATCAGTGCCAGAAGCTCCATCATCTCAGCCTCCACGTCACCGATACCCAACTGGACCTGAACCTTCTACAAAGCCTCCACGAAACCCATACCAATCTGGACCAGAACCCTCTACACCGCCTCCACGAAACCCATACCAATCTGGACCAGAACCCTCTACACAGCAGCCAGGAGGACAAGTAGCATCGCATAAGCCTCCATCAGTGCCAGAAGCTCCATCATCACAACCTCCACGACACCGATACCCAACTGGACCAGAACCTGCTACAAAGCCTCCACGAAACCCATACCAATCTGGACCAGAACCCTCTACACAGCAGCCAGGAGGACAAGTAGCATCGCATAAGCCTCCATCAGTGCCAGAAGCTCCATCATCACAACCTCCACGACACCGATACCCAACTGGACCAGAACCTGCTACAAAGCCTCCACGAAACCCATACCAATCTGGACCAGAACCCTCTACACAGCAGCCAGGAGGACAAGTAGCATCGCATAAGCCTCCATCAGTGCCAGAAGCTCCATCATCACAACCTCCACGACACCGATACCCAACTGGACCAGAACCTGCTACAAAGCCTCCACGAAACCCATACCAATCTGGACCAGAACCCTCTACACAGCAGCCAGGAGGACAAGTAGCATCGCATAAGCCTCCATCAGTGCCAGAAGCTCCATCATCACAACCTCCACGACACCGATACCCAACTGGACCAGAACCTGCTACAAAGCCTCCACGAAACCCATACCAATCTGGACCAGAACCCTCTACACAGCAGCCAGGAGGACAAGTAGCATCGCATAAGCCTCCATCAGTGCCAGAAGCTCCATCATCACAACCTCCACGACACCGATACCCAACTGGACCAGAACCTGCTACAAAGCCTCCACGAAACCCATACCAATCTGGACCAGAACCCTCTACACAGCAGCCAGGAGGACAAGTAGCATCGCATAAGCCTCCATCAGTGCCAGAAGCTCCATCATCACAACCTCCACGACACCGATACCCAACTGGACCAGAACCTGCTACAAAGCCTCCACGAAACCCATACCAATCTGGACCAGAACCCTCTACACAGCAGCCAGGAGGACAAGTAGCATCGCATAAGCCACCATCAGGACCGGCAGCTCCATCATCACAACCTCCACGACACCGATACCCAACTGGACCAGAACCTGCTACAAAGCCTCCACGAAACCCATACCAATCTGGACCAGAACCCTCTACACAGCAGCCAGGAGGACAAGTAGCATCGCATAAGCCACCATCAGGACCGGCAGCTCCATCATCACAACCTCCACGACACCGATACCCAACTGGACTAGAACCTGCTACAAAGCCTCCACGAAACCCATACCAATCTGGACCAGAACCCTCTACACCGCCTCCACGAAACCCATACCAATCTGGACCAGAACCCTCTACACAGCAGCCAGGAGGACAAGTAGCATCGCATAAGCCACCATCAGGACCGGCAGCTCCATCATCTCAACCTCCACGTCACCGATACCCAACTGGACCTGAACCTGAGACAAAGCCTCCACGAAACCCATACGCATCTGGACCAGAAGAACAACCTGGAGCTACAACCGAATCAGAAATTGTTCGTCTGTAAACTGGACTTTATAAAAGAAAATGAGAAGAAAAGTTAACGTGATGGGATCAACTAAAAACAAAAACAATCTTGGGATTAACAAAATTGGGAACGATATCTAAATTACAAAAGTAACATTGAGATTAATATTAATTGATATATAATTTATTTTAAATCTCTTTTATATCCTATCTCTTGACTCAATTTGTATTTTTCCTTTCATTAACTGATAAATTTTTTACAAGGATTATTCTGAGTATCTATTCTCAGTATAAACACTCACCTCTATTACTATTACGTGAGAACCTCCCTTTACAAGTGATGTTCCCTTCAGGGCCCGTAGAATAAATTCGGGGTAAGGGTTATTTAACCCCTACCCGAGGGTCAAATAACTCGCAACCCGCAGCATAAATTCCTACTCTGAGTTCAGGGTTAAACAACCCGGTAGTTTAACCCAAAACCCCAAGTAGCTTTTCACATTGGTAGAATAAATTATTTACTCGGGTCAAATAACCCTCAGCTAAGGGTAAAATTGCTACACTGGTCGGGGGCAGTGTAACAGGGTAAAACGCGTCTGATTGCTCTTTTACAAAATATATTAAGTTTTCAAAATTTTGAAAAAAATTTTATATTCAAAAAATGAAAAAATATTTATGAAAAAATTTTTTTTGAAAATCCAGGTTTGGATCCGGGTCTAAAAATCCGGATTTTGATCCGGAAAGTCCAGTCCGGATGAGAAAAAATTTAAATCCGGAAACCGGATCCGGCATTTTCATACTTCTAACTCTATTGATTTTACTTAAAAGTTAAAGCTGTTTAATGGAAGTTTAATATAGAAATAAAATTAAAGAGTTACTCGCGAGTTACAGTAACCTTTAGTTTGGGGTAAAAATGCGAATTTATTCTACGGAATTTATTCTACCAATTTTACTCGGAACTCAGGGTTATTTAACCCAGGGTTATTTTACCCGGTTATTCAAACGGTTATGTTACCCCGAATTTATTCTACGGGCCCAGAGTATGATGTTCCCTTCACATTAGGGATATGTTCCCTTCAGACTAGGAGGATATTCCCATTAGAGTGAGATGTTCCCTTCACACTAGGAATATGTTCCCTTCACAGTAGGAGGATGTTCCCTTCGAGTAAGATTTCCCTACACATGTTTCCTTCAGACTAGAAGGATGTTCCCTTCACATTAGTGTGATGCTCCCTTAACACTAATAATGCTCCCTTAACACTAAGCTAAACACATCAAGTGATTTAATGCTTTATTTATAAAAACAGTATACTGTTAAACAATTTAAACATTTAATTAACTTATTTATTGCCTCAAATTAATAGAATTATTCAGTTCATTAGTCTGTTGTTGGTTATTAATATTGTAGAGGGCTAGTGGTTGTGATTGAGGGAAGGGGGAGTTTCTAGATGGGTTGGAGTGATTTGAAGTTATTGAAGAATCTAACAAGTTTGATTGAGCAGATGAGATACAAGATGAAGACATCTATTAAAAAATATCAGTTAAAAATACTACTTTGGGGCTTAAAAATGGACCCAATAATGAGGGTATATTAAATAGGAGGGCAGCTCTTCAACGCTTAAAAAGCTCCCTCAAACAGCGACCACAAGGACTTTCATACACCACTTGGGACTTAAAAATGCACCTTATATCGAGGGTTTATTAAATGGAGGGTAACGCTTAGGGAGCTCAGTGACCTAACAACCCCCTCAGTGACCTATCAACCCCCTCAGTGACCTATCAACCTTATATCGAGGGTTTATTATATAGAGGGCGACGCTTAGGGAGACCCAGTAACCTATCAAAAGTAGGGAACTCCCCCCATGTGACCTATCAACATTATATCGAGGGTAAATTAAATAGAGGGTAATGATTAGGGAGCTCACCCATCCAGTGACCTATCAAAATTTAAAAACGTCTCTTAAACGGAGGCTATCGAATAGTGGGTATATTTCAAATAATCTCTTTGGATCACCTGTTGTTGTTGCCCTTTCAATTGTTTTTCTAATAATGCCGGATTTTGTTGTAATTGGCCTTTAACAGACAGAGAATAAGCTGGATTTTGAAGCACATAGGGTGCTTCAGAATTTTTATAGTACGATCCGTTATTTAATGGCGGTTGTAGTGGTTGTTGAGGGTCATAAGTTCCATAATCGCCTGAATTTTTTTTACAATTTGTAAATTGTAAGAATTAAAATTCACTTTTATCCCCATCACTAGTTGGTGTGTCCCCGGGTGGTTGCATTGGAAGGAGCAACATTTCGTCTAGAGGCTGGTCTAGTTGAAATTCTGGCATCCAAACACGGCGTTCCTTTAAATTTAAAAATATTTTTTAAGTTTAAAGTTTGTCTAGCTTCAGATTCATAGACGGACCTCTCTATAAATTACCCACAATAAAACCCAAGTTAGGAACAGTAAATGTCTCATTAGAAGCCTCTAAGCTTCTAAGTTTCAATGGCTCTTGTGAGCGAGCTTCTAATAAGAATGGGTTTCTATTAGAGAGGGGCCTCTATTAGAGATAGGCTTCGATTAGAGAATTATAGCTTCTAGTTATAGCTTCTAGCAAGCTGGCTTCTATTAGAAGCCTTACTTGAGAAGCCGAAATCATTTTAGAATTTGGTAGGCCATTAGGTGGGAGTTGCTTTTCTGATAGTTCCCTATTTAAGCAACACCCTATAATAAGCTACAATTTATTCAACCCCCCAAAGACATATCTCATAATGAGGTCCGACTGTGCTTAATCTATTTATCATTCGTTCACCTGTAAATGAAATATAAGCGCCCTTAGGGCTTCAAACCACTGGTCCTCCTTTGTGGCATCAAGCGTAGCTGTTAACAGATGGGAGTATTGACGTTTAAGCTTCTGAGCCTGTTCAACCAATTTGCGAGCTGATACGGTTGTTACTCCCGCTTTGGCTCTCAATTCTCTCACTCTAGATCTCGATTCAACATCAATCAGTACAACAATAGGGGCATATTGTGCAAGTTGGAGACGTTCAACAGAAGCAGGGTTGACACAGAGTACACAGTGTTTTTGTGACGCCATTACTGTATCGACGGCAGAGAGACGAATACCTCCCAGAATATTGGAGGAGCCACGCTCTGGAGTAGGGGAAACAGAAAGGGAGGAAACAAGTGGATCCGCAACACCTCCTGTGCCTGAAGTGATGGAGGAGGTTGAAGGCAGTGGAGCACCTTTAAATTAGAATTTTTTGTATTTTCGTGTATTTTTGTTTTCTATACCAAAACGCATAGAAGACTGGCTCAGTAATAGTTGCCGTGCAACATCAGCCAAAGGCCCATACAATACTACTGGACGGTGAAAGGCTGGTCGTTTCAATGCAACGCGTTCGTAAGCGGGTGGGATTGTCTCAGTAAAACTATTGGTAGCACTACCAGCACCGCTTAACACTTCGTCTAAATTGTCGGATGGAGTTGCTCCATTATTGCTACCACCTCCAAACAATTTGCGGGAAGAGAAGGAAAGCTGTAGGAATGAATAAATATGATTTATAGTGTGAACGGAACATTCCCCCTGTGCGACGGGAACCTATTGTCAGTGTGAAGAGAACCTTCCCTTAAAACGGAACCTTCCTTGGGTGAAGGGAACATATTGCTAGTGTGTAGGGGGACCCTCTCCCTCTCAAAGGAACATTCCCTTAAAGGACATCATTACTACCTTTTTTCTAAACAAGGAACGGCCCAATGTCCCTCCATTACTTGCTTGATCATTAGTATTAATCCCATTATTTGTTGCATTATTAGTTTGGCGATAAACTTTAAAAAGTTGTTCGGCTGCCTTTGCATGAGGAATAATGCCTGTATTTGTGGTAGCTGGTGTGCATGAAGATGTAGATTCTGAGGAGGATGAAGAATTTTGTTGTTCGGCAC